GGCCATTGTGGCCCCACCCTACCCCGGAGTCATGATTTGAACAAACTTTGGTCGGCCATTTTGGCCCCGCCCTACACCCAGGGGTCATGATTTGAACAAACTTGAATCTACACTATTTGAGGATGCTTCCATATGAATATAATCAATTATGGCTTTGCTATTCTTGAGAAGAAGATTTTTAAAGAATTTTCCTATATATTTCTATGTAAAAGTTTGGTTGGCCAAAATTGGAAATCTGAAAATCACGGGTCATTTATTAACAAAGTTGAATCTACACTACCAAAAAGTCATATGAAATGATCAATTATGGCTTTGCTATTCTTGAGAAGAAGATTTTTAAAGAATTTTCCTATATATTTCTATGTAAAATTTTGGTCAGCCATTTTGACCCCGCCCTACCCCTGGGGGTCATGATTTGAACAAATCAGAATCTACACTACCTGAGGATGCTTCTATATGAATATGATGAATTATGGCTTTGCTATTCTTGAGAAGAAGATTTTAAAGAATTTTCCTATATATTTTATGTAAAAAATGTTTTTCTACTTGAAACCAATTTGAACCTACACAACCTATGCTTCCATATAAATATGATGAATTATGGCTTTGTCATTCTTGAGAAGAAGATTTTTAAAGAATTTTCATATATATTTCTATGTAAAACATGTAGCCATTTGGCCCTGCCCTACATTCAACATTGAACAAACTTTTACATTTGAGGATGCTTCCATATAAAAGATGAATTATGGCTCTGTCATTTTGCAGCAAAGATTTTTAAAGAATTTTCCTATATAATTTTTATGTAAAACTTTAGTCGGCCATGAATAAAGGTATATAAAACTAAATTGTATATGTACATCAAATTTTCAGTTTTCATCTTTCCTGGCATGGTGGTTCTTGAGAAGAAGATTTTTAAAACATGTCACCAAATTTTCATTAATTCCCAATTATCTCCCCTTGAATGAGGGCGTTGCCCTTCATTTGAACAAACTTGAATTCCCTTCAACCAAGGATGCTTTGTGGCAAGTTTGGTTGTAATTTCAAATTTTTAAGAAGTCTGAAAATGTGAAAAACAAACACCACCAGACGGACGCCGGTACAAAATGTTAAGAACTTTAGTCAATTGAGCCTTTGGCCAGGTTTTAAAAAGTAATGTATGATTGAAGTAGATGTGTTTCCCTAAGAGGAGGTAAAATACTGATTTTACTGATTTTTTTTAGGGGGGTATATTTAAATAGTTTCACTATTTTAAAATATTCCATAAATAATTCTTTCTCCCACACAAATTGAAAAAATTCATTTTTGGGACATTCCTCTAGCATCCTACAAATATTCACATATAGTGTTACAATGAATACTTCTGGAAAAATGTCAAACCAACTGAAAATAACACTCTTTGGAAATTAATTGAACCAAAATTGAAATCTGAAAATCACTCTTATTTATTAAAAAGCTACTTTTAATACATGTATCAAAAAGTCCAATAAACACAAATGACATTGTCAAAATTTTAAATGATTACCATTCGTATTATGTTAGTGAGACAAAATCAACACAACAGTTACCTTTCTTGATTTCAGGCTAAGATAATATACAAAAACATTATTACATGGATATTTGGTTACAAAAATGTTTTTCTTCTTAAAACACATATTCTGGTAATCAAGATATAATTTTTACAAGAATGATGTAACTTGTGGCATAAATATTTCTGTGCATGTAAAACATTACCTTTTTTTTGAGTCTATGAAAAAGTCAAACTCTTTGGCCATTTTGCAGCAAAGGGATTTCCTAAAAGGCAGAAAGTGTATTGGTGTACAATAAACGTATTTTAACTGCTGAGTCACATTCTAATTAATTTTGTTGTAATTTAAATTTTTAAGGAATTTGCATAAAAACACCACCATACATATGTACCGGTACATCTTTAGAACTTTAGTCAATTGCCATTGGCCATATTTTTTTAAGTTTGAAGGTATTGTACATGAAAGGCATGAAAAGTTTATTACATTTTTAAAGCTATTCATCAAATTTATTAATGGCTGTAATTAGCAAACATTTTTTTTACTAGCATAACAGACTGTCTTTCTAAAATTTATGTAATCCCTTTTACCTTTTAGAAACAAACATGACAAAGTAACTATTTCAGTGTGTGTGTAGGGTTATGAAGAAAATGTTAGGGTAAGGTTTATAAGCCTTACACCCATCAGCAATTTAAGATTCAATGGTCATTCATTTTTTTCCCTCATAATTAAGCACTTCAAAATTTTGTATTTAATTAAAAGTACAACTATACATGAAAAAAACCTCTCTGGAACACATACCTATAGTGACTTTCTGGACAGTTTGTGTTGATCACATGGCCATCTTAAAAGTAAAAACAAACAAAAATTTAAATAGTTCTAGATCATATAAATGCAGTATATATGTTTATATTTTATAAAGAATTACATATTCTACATTGCTTACAAATCTGATCAAAATTTAGTCAGCAACAGCATTTATACATATATCACATGTTTAATCTAAACTAGGTGAAGCAGAGCATTCAAACAAATGTAAATGTAAATATTAAATAAACAATTTCAGATTCTCAGAATACAGTATTGATGTATCTGATCATACATATGTACATGTACAAGTATTGATTTAATTTAATTTGACAACTGCCAGGGGCATAATGGAACAAGATAGCAATAGAAGCATCTTGGTGAATTATCGGGCCTAAACGTCATGGCCCACCAAGCTGGAACAGTTTACTTGGTAAATGAGTTGATTTGACAGGGAATGTTACCCCTATCACTATCATGAGTTCGTGACTAAATGTAAACTTTCAATATCATTATCAGATGGTTCAGGGTTATGGCTCAGTGAACTTAGTGAAATTTCAAAAGTTGAGTAAAATATAGAGATCTCAACAAAAAAATGTGCAACAATACAACCATAGTCCAATAACGATATGCTCAATTGTTCTTGTGAAGCATATGTTTAACTTATTATTTATTTATATTTAAAGATTTTCAAAAAAGTCAAATTTTAACAATTTATTACAAATATTTTCTTGTTAAACATGTAAAGTACAATTCTTTTTATAAATTAAGTGAAATAAGATAACCAAAAAATGCATGAATTATGCCTTGAATATATCATGAAGATCATCTTTTAATTTTTTTAAATTTTATTTTCAAATCTTCATTTGAACATGTTAACAAGGTTAGAAAGTTCATGGAAATCTACCTGGCATCATCTCGCTGAGAGACGGGTCATCCTTGTCAGTGAAAATGTAAGTCTACAAGAAACAAAAAACACTCATCAAAAAATGAAAGATGATAGGATTTTTACATGCAAAAACTGTCCAAACAAAACAATTGTTCCAATTTATCAAACTCGCTATACATTAACAGTCATATTTAGCTGTATTTAGCATATTGTTATTCTAAAAATAAAAAAAAATCGTAAAAATTTGATTTCTATTCAATAACTTTGAATTGATATTTTTGGTGATGACATATTTTATTAAACATTTCACATCAAAAAGTTACAACTATAGTTTGTACTGTTTTTTTTTTAATGTTTTTTTTTCTAGTATAGGAATTTATTATTGAGGGACACGAAGGAAATTAATCTGAAGCAGCTTTTGCTAGAACTTTTCAGAGTCAGAGATGTGTCAGTGCTACAAAATTAAAATCAACTTCATTTTGATTGGATAGTGGATTAATTAAAACCTCTTAAAAGTAAAAGTTTTAGTTGTATAGTGACATGGTATTAAAAGGATGTCAAAAGCTAAAAAGTTGAAGCAGCATGCAGGGAATTCATTTTATTTGTGTGGCACTCACTGGTCTGAAATTCAGAAGAGAAGTCAGTCCAAGATATTTAATATCTATGAAAAATCTTGCCGAGATTAAACCCTATGGTTTTCAACAATTTTTTCTTTTCGAAATCAACAGAGAAGCAACTTGGGTAACAGAACCTCTCAACAAAACGTTGGCCTGAATGTTAATTTGGCTGGACAGTTTTATACAGAGGGTGACTTCTTTTCTAATATACATGTAATACTAATTTTCAGAAAATCACAAACTTTTATACATTCATTGTTATACAGTTGAACTTGCATGGATACCTAGAACAAGAATATCTCAAATATCATGGATATTTCAAATTTATGAAAGTCTCAATAACTTTTTCTTTTAGCATTTCAGCCTTAATCATGTTTATATCTCGAATATCTCGATTATTTTACTCACTTCTATCGAGTTCGAGATATCGGGGTTCAACTGTTGCCCTAATATTTTATTTAGAATTCAGCATTTTTTCAATATGCATGCTTAACACTGCTAATTACAAAAATTCATAATAATCTTAATAAATTTTTGTAATGAGCCGATGAGTGACCTGTTCTCTACAAGCTGAGACCCATGTGTCCAAAAGAAGCTTCACTCTCGTCTCATGAAATGATGATGTCGTTTTAACTGAAATAAACACATCGTTTATATCCGTGGCCTTGGTTTCACTTTTCGGCAAACTTTTATAAGAAAGTTTTGTATTCTTTTTTTCTTTGATAATAGGTTTATATAAATCAGTATCGGGACTAAATGATTTGGCACTTCTCTGGTTTCTAAAAACTTTGCTATCAGGCCGCACAATGTCACCTCCGAACGATTCAACAAGTGGCTCTTGTTCGCCGCCATGTCCATCTTCCAAAGTTTGTAAACTTTTCAATGATGAAGTTTTGTCCCAGTAGAATAACACAACCAATAAAAGAAAGCCGCTGATGGAAATCAAAGTCTTGACAACTTTTTTAAAAGTTATCCTCATCACTTTACGCTGTCTTCTCGTAAGATTTGTACCGCATTCCGATACACTCTCTTGTATTTACCCTCGTAAAGTGAACATTTTCACACGGTCCAGTTTATTATTAGAAATAGGGGACAAAGGTTGCGTTCCAATTACCCCATCGGAATCTTCTCAATGTATCAATATGAAAAAATCAGAGGAACACCAAATGAAAATCGGGTATGCGCATGCCCCACGTAGAAAATGTAAACTTCCTGTCAGAGAAGGATCACAAGACGTTGAAGACATGGCGAGCGACACTTGGTACACACTTTTAAGATCATTAACGCTAAATTAAACGATCTGCAATAGTGGAAGTCAATAGATAGAAAGATAGTGTTTCCATATTAAAAAGTAGAAACAGTCTTTAGCACTGTCAAATTCAACAGTCAAAAAGTATTGAATAAGGTTATTGTTATATCCTGATCAGACCTATCTGTATCAGTGTCCTATGTTTAAAATCTGATGTTTAGTCGATTAGGACCAAATGTATTCTTTAGTATCATGATAGTTTAAAAGGAATATAAATTTCAGGTTAGCCGAGTATGATGCATGTGCAAGACTTGGTCAAACTCTTATGGAAAACATTACAGAGAGAAACAAGCACAACAGGACCAGTTCACAATACACCAAGGTAATGATGACATGGACATCAACTATATATGCATTGATTTCTGTGGAGGAACATACAGATAGAGTTTGGTGATCTTAAATGCCATCGATATGTGGAAGTGATTTGGTAGTCCTAACTACATGACATATTCCTTTAATTTTTTACCATTCACAGACATATGAACCGGCTTTTTTGCACATTATACATAATTAATATAGGCATTGAAAATTGGTGTTTACCTTTTTTGTTGGTTTATCCCCCTCCCCACTTTCAATTTGATTCTGACATCTACAGCGTTCTTGAAATTTTTCGGTCCTGTAGCCAAAACTGATAAAAACGACCAAGGACTGATAACTTTGTGTTCTATGTCTGTCCAAATGACCGGTAAGTGTTGACAGAGGAACTTCGTCAATTCGACCAAAATTTGTACAAATTCTTGATATTTAGACTGAGCGATCGTAATCTTCAAACGCTTTTCTGTTTCTAGTAAAGGCTTCTTCGAAGAATGCAAGGTCCAAACTATGATTGGTAAACTAGTTTGTTGACAGAGCTGAGGTACTAGCCATGTGAGAAAATCGAACAAGATTAAAAACTTATGAAGAAAATGGACCCCACAAGAATTCAATGAAAGTTGTTATAAGACGATCAAATCGGTATGAAGTGTGCAGTGTTTATTGACGCTGGGTACACACTATATTGATAATAAAATTCAAATACAGTTTTCATCTTTTTATTGATTTTTTTTGGACTGATAGAAATTTGTCTGGACTGACAAACTTCACATGGCAGTTAGTCCAAATGACTGACAGCAACAAAAAGATTTCAAGAACTCAGGGCCGCCTATGCCATTGATAACTTGACTCTTTGGATATCTCAAATACTGTAAATGTATCATATTTGGTTTGTACAATATTTGGCGGAAATAGATTTGATGTAGCGCATTTATTCATTTTCATGTACATGAGTATATGTGCAAGATATTAACATTGTACTTGGATTAGCGGATGTTTCTTTTCACCAAAGAATACATAGCAAAATTTAATACTTTTACAGTAGTTTGAGATTGCGAGGTTTGGTTGTAAATTTAACTTATTATAAGATCACATTACATTATTCGTCTGTGGGTTGATATTTATGCTAAGCCTAAATTTATAGGCCAATTAAACAGGAACCAACTGAAATAGGAGATATATATTTTTATTTTTAAAAAGAGCTGTACAATGAGTATATAGATTAGAACCTAAATGTATAAATTTTAAGAGTAGTCAGACTCTGAGAGTGTATAGAAAAAGGTTTGATTAAAACTGAATAGGATGTAAAATGTTTTATGCTTTTTTTATGATTTTGTTAGTTATTGCCAGGGACCTATATACTAAGTATATAGGTCCCTGTTATTGCTAAGTGTTTTTTGTTTTTCAGCTTTCTGCCCAGATACGAGTGTCTATGAAGCAGTTTACCCAGTCATTAAACAAACTGAAGCAGAATCTTGTCAGAGCCTCTTCATCTTACCATATGTATCCTGCATTATTAGATTCAATTAGTTTTTTTAATCGATTTAATGTTTGTTTTCAAACAGGTATGATCACACTTTTGAAACAACAGTAGGGTGCTTACATACAGGTCAACACTTAACGCATCAACTTGTTTGAGTTTAAATTATCTAAAATTGGTTGACAAACAATTCTTTTTTCTTTTACATTTTTAAAGGTAAAATACCTTTAAAAAATTTTAGAGAAAAAAAATCTTTTTCTTAATGATTATGCTGAAATTAGAACAACTTTGATACATACATGTAGAAGTTTTCAGCATGTCTTGAGAAGGAAAAATATTTTAAAGTACGTTTTGACCATTAAAAAAAAACTAAATTGACCTTAACTTCAGTTAAAGAACACAGAGAGAAGTTGAACGTAGACAAATGATGATGGACAACCTAACAACAAAGGAGAAACAGATAGACCAAGCTTTTAAAAATGAAGCCAGTGCATCCAGGTATATCTGTGATTTAAACTACAAATTCTGCAGATCTGTGAGATAATTTTTGATGGTATATCCAGGTTTGAATTTTAGTTTGGCAAATAAAAAAAAATTATGTTTTATAAACATAAGAAAACAATCATGAGGGTGTGTCAAACTTTGATAGCATAAAGTCATACAAAACTAAATAAATTTTTTAATAACAGCATGATAAGTATGAATTAAATATCTATTTTAGTAAAGATTATCAGTTCCTAAACCTCTTCTCCATTTTTATGTATAAAAAAGCCATATGTGAATAAATATATCAGAGCATTTATTCTGGATTAAGCCCACAGCCATTGTATAGACTGGTTCATGTAATTTTTGTCTCGCCTGCGACGAATGTCGCGAAGCGAGACATAGCGACCATAGATTCCGTCGTCGTCGTCGTCGGCGTCCAACTTTTGGTTAACCCAAATGTCAAAGTTTTATAAACTGCAATAACTTTCTCAAATTTTATTCAGTCTTCTTGAAATTTGGACACAATATTCAGTATGGATAAAAATTTATATCCCAAGTATGATTTTGAAAAAAAAAATTCAAATTTTTCCGTATTTTTTCCTTAAGTTGGACTTAGTTTTTTCATGATAATTTATGGCGAAGACCTATATTCCAGCAACTATAAGTTATAGGGATATGATAATTTCAGTGGATACATCATGGGTAACCACAAACGTCAGTACCAGAATTAGGTCATCTTGACCTACATTTTTCTGCATGAGTGACTTTGGTTAAATTTTTGGTGGAGGTCCATATCTCAGCATCTATAACTTATAATGGCATGATGATTTGTCATTGTACAGGTTATAAGTAACCAACAACATCAGTACCAGAATTAGGTCATTTTGACCTACATTTTTCTGCATGAATGACTTTGGTTAAATTGATAATGGAGGTTCATATTTCAGCAACTATAACTTATAGTGGCATGATAGTTAGTCAGTGGATACATCATGGGTAACCACAAACGCCTGTACCAGAATTAGGTCATCTTGACCTACATTTTAAAGAACACAGCATGAGTGACTTTGCATAAATTTATGGTGGAGGTCCATATCTCAGCAACTATAACTTATAGTGGCATGATAATTTGTCAGTGGATACATCATGGGTAACCACAAACGCCTGTACCAGAATTAGGTCATCTTGACCTACATTTTTCCGCATGAGTGACTTTGCATAAATTTATGGTGGAGGTCCATATCTCAGCAACTATAACTTATAGTGGCATGATAATTTGTCAGTCTACACATCATGGGTAACCAACAATATCAGTACCATAATTAGGTAATCTTCACCTACATTTTCTGCATGAATGACTTGATACATATACAGTGGATTCCATTTCTTTATTATTGTATTTCAGGATTGTTTCCATTCTTTTACAGATATTTTTGTATAATGCTTCAGTTTATCAGACAATCATTTCTTACTAACCACAGCGACAGCAGGCGAGACACAGGGTTGCGGGCAACCCTTACGTACTTTTTTTGCAAATACAAGTGTTGCTACTACAGTGTAGATCTTATTGACATCTCTTCTTACATCTGACAAGTATGTTTAATTGAATTAAAGCATAAAATAACAAAACTTATCTTATTTTACTTACATCAACAAAGAGTAAAATTATAACATTTCTCTTGCCATTAATATATGGTGTTTAACTTGATTTTGAAGGTCTTCGTTGATGGGTGCTGGTGCCAGTGGGTTTGGGGGGAGGGATCCATGGGGAGTGAGAGATGAACCAGAGGAGTACGAAGGAATGGACAATCAGGGGATAGCACAGCAACAACAAACTATCATACAAGGTGGGGCATTGTAAACAAAGCAAACAACAGCAAATTATTATACTTCTGTTAAAATGTTTCCGATATAAAGTTCAGAAGGTAAAATAACTATCCTTTATAGTCCATGCATAGCAAAGCTATACCTTGGGGTATAGTTTTTGTTATTATACCTCTGTTTATTTTTTCTATATAAAAATAAGACGAATAAACATGCTATTTTTTCTAAACAGTCTCTACCGTGAAATAGTTTTTGTGCTATTTGTCCATGGTGAATAGTCCTCAAACTATTCAACGGCAGCATTCGATTTCCCTCGCTTTTCATCTCTGAAAAAATTCTGATTTTTACATGGATTGTGACGCGTATATATTATGACGTAACAAAAGTTAAGTCAGCACCGGTATAATATGGAATATCATAATTGTGTGTACCCTGGACTTCCAAAAGTTAACAAAAGTTAAGTCAGCATCGGTATAATAAAACACCTATTTACTGACTATTCGGACAATAGCAAGTTTATCGTCCCCCTCGACAGCAAACTATTTCCCTCGGCTGCGCCTCGGGAAATAGTTTGCTGTCTTGGGGAAAAAACTTGCTATTGTTTCATAGCCAGTAAATAGGTGTATACTATCCACCCTTGGAAAATTTTCATGCAATTGTTGCCGCTAATTTTGATTTCCAGCGATAAATCTTTAAACTGATGATGTCATAATGACTTCAGTAGCATTGTGACGTCATCAGGATTTCAGATTATTCTTGCAGAATTATCTTACTCCAAAAAATTCAAACCTCAGAAATTGTATCATACATCAGTAAAATAAAACGCTTATCCATTGGTTGTGAGTGGGATAGCTCTTTTATCAAACCCTTGACAGGAACTTTTCCCCTCGGGCAAGCCCTCGGGGAATAGTTCTCTGTCGCAGGTTTGATAAAAGAGCTATCCCACTCACAACCAGTGGATAAGTGTATACAAATGTACTAGCATACAAGTAGGGGCATTGTAAAGAAAGCAAACAACAACAAATTTTTATACAAGGTGGGACATTGTAATCAACGCAAACTATCACACAAGGATATATTGACTGAATTCCTTTGTTGAATGGAAATTCTATTTTGTAAATGCATCATTATGCACAAAAGAGACAAAAATAATTTATTTTCAATATCGATTACTGATGAATTATATTGCTACCAACTCCTTTCTTCATAAAGTCAAGCTGTCAGAAAAAAGGGTATGTACATTCTGTAATATTGAAACTGAGAAAATAAATTCACTTATTTTATGATTGTATATATGTGACTGAATTTTGGAAAGAATTTTGGAATGAATTTGTAAAATGGTTTAATGTTATTGAAAAAGATTATAAAATATCCAAAAGAACTGTTTTACTTGGTAATGTAGTTGCTCAGAAAATTTTCTTACATTAGTTGCAAAAAAATTCATTTACTATTCAAGATCACAAGACAAAAGGCCATTATTTACTGATGCAGTAAGATTATTTAAGTACACATGTATTATAGAAACAGAGAAAAATATTGTGAAAAAGTTTTTCAATGTAAGGACAACAGACTTAGTAAATGGGCCCTGTATGATAATGTGTACAACAAGTGATTTAAATTGTATTTTTTGATTTTTTATATCTATATACTAAATTGGTACATTTGTTTTGTTTATTGATAAATTGTATGAATAACTGTCGTATGTTTACATCTATGTATATCAATTACCGTATATACTCGCATATAAGTCGGTATTTTGGGAGTTAAATTTTAGTTCAAAACTCTATATCCGACTTATAAGCGAGTCATAAAAAGACAGGTATTTCTCTGGATGGCAAATCATAGTATTCTTTAAACATTTTCAACAGCTATCGTTGAACAAAGTATGGATACATTATATCATTTATGTATTATAAGATTAAACATAATATATATGTTTTTTAATCTTAAGAGGACAGTACTTATTTTTTCATGATTTAAAGTTGAATATCGACTTCATTTCTTAAAAAAATAATTAAAAATTAGGGTAAAACATCATAGCATTTATTAGAAATTGCCATCTGATTCTTGCGAAAAATTGTACCGACTTATAAGCGGGTCAATGGCAAATCCCTGCCAAATAACCTTAAAAAAGACAACCGACTTATAGGCGGACCGACTTATAGGCGAGTATATACGGTATTTAAGTTTTGAAAGTGCACTGTGTGATTGTGTGTAATTGTGTTGGTGAGTGGGTGGAAATTGTATGCTATGTGTTTGTATTTATGTAAATGGAAAAAAGCTTCAAAATAAAACATAAAAAAAAAAATTCCTTTGTTTTTCACAGAACAAGATAGAGGGTTGGAGTCTCTCTCTAAAGTAATCTCACGACAGAAGCAGATGGCTATAGACATTGGGAATGAAGTGGACAGTCAAAATGGTAGGTGGACCTCCTTTCTCCATTTCCAGTCTCAAAGTGAAAAATTGGCTACTTTCATTTACCATGTTTACTAGGGATGGGTATTGCTAAAAAATTTGTATCACAATATACTAGATCACCATTTTCCCCAAATATCTTGATGATATCTTGATATATTTACAAACAATTTTTACAATGATTTGAAATGAATATTCATATATTTTTTCTAAAATATGCTGGAAAACAAATTTCACTTTCTTCATATTTTTATAATATTAAGCATGCTTGGATGTTGTTCTTTTACCGTTTTCAACATTTTTTTACACCTCATGTAATTGTAATTTCAGACTTGATTGACGACATTGGGGATCACATGGACCAGACCAAAACGCGCCTGATTAAGGAGACCAGACACATTCGTATAGTGGACAGGAAGTCAGCTACGTGTGGTAAGACAAGAAAAGTGAAGGATTTTAAATTTAGCATCTTTTTTTGACATGAATTAATTAAAATGAATTACATGCACTCTTTACATTTAGAATACAGATTGTCAGGTTATTTTTGCATGTTTTGGGTAATTTGATTACAAAAAGGAGTTGGCATTTTTTTCTTATCCACCAAATAAACATTTGCAGCATATGTCAAAATTACCCAATAAAGCAAAAATATCTCAGTGTACACAAAGTACTAGGATTTCCTTATTTCAATATAGAATATATCATACAGAAAATTTCACTGATATTCACAAATTTATTTGAAGTGCATTAATTTAATTGTAACCATAGAAATCTTTGGGGGGATATAAAAAAGTCAATTTACACAACACTAAATGCAATCGAACAATATAGCTAATGATCATGTCTTTATTTTTCTGTTCATGACTTTTATTTTTATCTTTTGTAGCCTACTGGGTGGCCATCATCCTGATTTTCATAGCTATCATAGTCATTTTGATTGTGCCTTACAATGGAAAAGGAGTGTAGAAGCTACAAAATTTTAGTGAAAGAAATGGAGACAGTATTCCTGGAGTAAGGCAGAGTGATGCAGTTAGTAAAAAATATCAGGAAAATACCTCATTAACACTATTTAATGTAGGTGTATAAGAAAGTGCTATAACTGTGATAATATGGATTGAATAGTGCAATCATAATATGATCCCAGAGTGCATTTGTGGTCCTTAGTTTTGTCATTATTGTTTTCAATTGCCAATTTTTCTACATTTCATTCCAACAGTATAGTAAATGAATTAAAAATTATTGCATTGTAAGTTAAATTTAGGTCTATTTGATTGACAATAGTTCTAATCGTATTTGTCTCCTAGTTGTACCTTGGAAATATACAGTGTAATTGGAAGATGTGTAATCCTATTTATTTTGTTTATCTTGTGTTACAAGTAATGGTACATATACATATTTGAATCTACATTCATATTGAAAGAGATTTGTCTTTAAAATTCAAAGTCCTGCAATGAGTACAAAGTTGTATTTAATTCTATTTTAATAATATTTATATTAGGGGGTAAGATACAAAGGGTTTTGAGGGGATAGGGGACTTTAGCTATTTGGGAAAATATGGTTGAAAATTAGACCTTCCAATTTTATACATGTGGGTTTTCAAAGAAGTTAAATAATTATGAAATTATTGAACATAGGTTTATTGAACATGTATCATATAAATCTCTGTAATAAAGATATATTTAAATCATTTATTTAAAACCATACATTTATTTTTTTTGCACAACATTTTGGAGACTTTCTTTCAAAAGCCATAGCACAACATGGTTAATTCAATTTGTTATGGTGTGAAGAAGTTTTGAATCAGGTTTGAATAGGACAACATGACATCCAAATATTTTTTGCTCACCTTGACACAGTTTTCACGTAAAGAGCTTTTTTTTAATATCCTGGGGATTTGTTGTTGGTGTCTTTGTTTTTGGAAAACATGTAATGTACATTCAATGATGCATGACCCATACAGGTTTGATACTGTTCAGGTAAGGTTTGTAGTTTCTAAGAAATGTTCCTTAAACTAAAACAAGGACATGAAAAACAAATCCCAATTTAATACAGAGAATCTCTGTTTTTCAACCACACGTGGCGCAGTAGTCCGAAAAATCTTGCGTTTTCCTGGCTTTTTTACGATTTTGATATTTTACATGCCAGGAAAACGTCAGATTTTTCGGGCTAGTGGCGCAGTGGTCTGCTCTAGAGTCGCGAAGTAAGTAGTTGATCCTTACATCGCGGGTTCGAATCCCACTGTGGGACGTGGAGACCAGGGGCCCGTTTTACAAAAGGATTTACGACTTAAGACCAAGTTTAATTATTCATATAACTTTTTAATTAACATTATAACGAAAATTACTTTTAAACTTTTTAAAAAGAATGTGGTGAGCACAGGCACTTGTTTCGTATACGGGGTCTCCCTACCTATATGTGGTAAATATAGGTAGGGGGACCCCGTATACGAAACAAGTGCCTGTGGTGGTAAGATATTTTGATACAGATAATTTCGAAGAGAATTGTTAATTTTGCAAAATTTTACAATAATCTTAAGTTTTTGGTCTTAGTCGTAAGTTCTTTCGTAAAACGGACCCCAGTCCTTCGGATGAGACCATATAATGTAACGTACTCCAGCATGCTAGAGCTTCACGGCGAGGTACTTTTGACTTGGCGCCGCGTTATATAAGGAGCGTAGGGACGTTAACCGAGGCTCTTTCTTGTAGGAGTAAATGTAACGATACCCGCGTGTCGTAGTAGGTGCTGGCACGAAAAAGAAATCTATCACTGCTCAATGACCGTTAGTCTGAAATAACTGACATTTTCCTTTTTTTACGATTTAGATATTTTACGTGCCAGGAAAACGTCAGAACCGGCGCCATTACGAACAAGAGGCCCATGGTCCATTTCGCTCACCTGAGTAACTTTGGTGATGCAGTTCTTTACCAGATTTCCCCTCTTCTTACATCTATTGTGGCCCCCTACCTCCTCCCAACCCCCATCTTTATTTTAACAATTTAAAATCTACACTATCCCAGGATGCTTCCACTTTAAGTTTCAGCTTTTCTGGCCTACTGGTGCTTGAGAAGAAGATTTTTCCAAATTATTTCTATGTAAAACTATGACTCCCTAATGTGGCCCCTTCCTACCCACCGGGATCATTATTTTAACAATTTAGAATCTACACTAACCGTGGATGCTACCACATAAGTTTCCGCTTTCCTGGCCCACAGGTTCTTGGGAAGAACGTTTTTCCTATTTATTTCTATGTTACACTTGGATTCCGTATTGTGGCCCCTCCCTACCCCCGGGGGTCATGATTTTTACAATTTAAAATCTACACTACCCCAGGATACTTCCACATAAGTTTCAGCTTTTCTGGCCCACTGGTTCTTGAGAAGAAAATACTTCCTTTATATTTGTATGTAAAACTTAGATTCCCTATTGTGTCCCCGCCCTACTCCCGGGGGTCATGATTTTTACAATTTAAAATCTACACTACCCCAGGATGCTTCCATGTAAGTTTCAGCTTTCTTGGCCCAGTGGTTCTTGAGAAGAAGCTTTTTCCTATATATTTCTATGTAAAACTTAGATTCCCTATTGTGGTCCCGCCCTACCCCCGGGGGTCATGATTTTTACAATTTAAAATCTACACTACCCTAGGATGATTCAAAATAAGTTTCAGCTTTCCTGGTCCACAGGTTCTTGAGATAAAGATTTTTAAAGATTTTTCCTATATATTTCGTTGTAAAACTTAGATTCTCTATTGTGGCCCCTCCCTATGCCCGGGGGGTCATGATTTTTACAATTTAAAATCTACACTACCCAGGATGCTTCCACGTAAGTTTCAGTTCTTCTGGCCCAGTGGTTTTTTGATTGATTTACAATTTAAATTCCCCTTCACCCATGGGTGCTTTGTACCAAGTTTGGTTAAATTGACCCAGTGGTTCGTGAGAAGAAGTTGAAAATGTGAAAAGTTAACAGACGGACGGACAGTGGGTGATCAGAAAAGCTCACGTGAGCTTTCAGCCTAGGTGAGCTAAAAATGGATTCGCCGTCTCCAACTGGATTTTTTTTTTTACTTGCGCGTAAAATATCAAAATGGTTAAAAAGCCAGGAAAAGTAAGGTATTTTGGACTAAATGGCCGTAATTTCGAGAATAGGACAAAGTTTGCAGCTCTCCACTGGCAATTGATGGCGTCTCCATATGAGTAAAAAAAATTCGAGTGAGGGGGTTAAACGAGAAAGTCAGGAGATGATATCACTAGCTTAAACGTTATCAGTCATTATAGAATTCCATCTTCCTGTAAAGTTTTCTTTTTTCACACGACCTTAATCAAAAAAAAAAATTAAGGAAAAGGAAATCGTTCAGTACAAGTTTATTAATAGAAAAATACTTTAAAACTATCTTTGAAATTTATCTCAAGTCGACTTTTTCACTCGGCGAGAGCAGAATTTTGATGCTGTTAACGGATATAAAAGAAAACTAAGACATATGGTTGTGTAGATAAATTATCGTAGAAGAAAATGGTAATAATTAGTTTGCAAGAGCATTTCCTCTGAAAGTGTAAATGAATGCATTTCTGAGGAGGGGGTACTCCGTGTAATTCGGAGTTATAGATACCTCGGTCAAAAATTTATATTCGAAACAAGTTTCTGTGAACAAATGTATTTGAAATTAAAATTTTTCGTTTGAGGTTTAATTTTCGTTGATTTCCTTATAAATCTATGAAGAAATATATTTAAAGTATCAGATCTCGATCATTAATGTCATTTATGTGACGAAAATATATTTTAGGTCGATGTCTGACACTTGTTAAAAAGGATGCTTAAGGCGAACTTGATTTGTCTACACACTTTACCCGTGTACATCTTTCTTAGTAAAGTACAGAGGTGTAGACGTTTGGTACACACTCGATGTACACTTTCTTACACATTGGTTTACACCAAGTTCAGCTAAATCAAACACGCTCTTGGAAGTGCTACCATATGTAGAGGCTCCATGCCCAATATATTAGTGTACGTGACGATTTTTCTTTCTTGTGCTTTGAAAAGGAAATTATAACTTTTAGCCAGACTGGATATATAAAAAGAAATATCTGTGTCCCAGGAACCATAATCTCTTGTTAGCCAGTGCTGATCAATCAAGAAATGAAGCGAAGGTGCATCTTAGCAAGATTCCAGGACTATGCTGCAAATTTTCGTTGAGATGCCAAGAATAAAATGCTTTTTAATTGTTCAATTGAACATTCAGACAAATGAGCAATATGAATTTATTAAGGTCAAAAGTTTCCGTAAATGTACTTTACATAAATAGTGCGAAATAAATTGTTCAGTTTAACCGGTCAATTGTACTGGAAGTATAGGTACAGTGCTGTACTAACTCTGAAGCGCTTATAAATGATTATATAAATCGTGCATACTAGATATGTTTAATTAATTAACCTGCAAAATATCAACATTCTACTAGTGTAAACAATTAATGTTTTTTTTTTTTTTAGCAAATTTGGAATCTTAAAAGATTGTATATGTTTGCAAAAAGAACTCTTACAGCGTAAGTTATATAGAATATTATAGTTCCGCAATTTAATTTTTTTAACTAAAAAATCATTAAGAAATATTTCAATTGAGAAAATTGTTTGATTTTTAAATCTACATTGATTTGAAATCATTTTAAATCTACTGCTAATGTTTAAAGTTAAGTTCGAGATCGAACTTGACAAGGACTGATAGACACAGGTGATATTTAATAGTGATAGCACGGCGTAAATATATCTATAATCCCATTGAAAATTCACCCGGAAGTTTTGGTCGCGAGGGTGACCCCGCTACCCTTACAACCGCCCCGTGCTATAAAATTCCCGGACAATGGAGATTAAAATTCCAAAAATATCGAAGGCGGAAGCTTAATTCTTTCCTATTTTTCGTTCTACATCTAGACTGGATCAAAATAAAGCACTGGAAAGAAAAATCATAAACAAGTTTATGTAGCTTGATGTGTTCTTGTAGCGGATTTATGTAATATATGTCTGTTCACCTGTTGTATATTTTCTCATTACCTGTGATCTGGACAATATTTTAAGTATCCTGGCCTGCGCTTGAATATGACTGATGTTAGATTTGAGGGACTACTTCAGAAACCGGGGGTAAGTTAAATGATACTTAAGTTTGTTAAAATTCATTTTAACCTTTTGATATATCCTTTGATCTTACTATTAATCTCTTACGTAATTTGTTGTAATAAATACTACGTATGTATATTTATATAATATAGTGTTATAAATGTCATTGATAACGCATGCATGCGAATTAGTATAACTAGAATAAAATGACTAAAATAACGGAACTGTAATTTGCATATTTCATTAAAATCAGTTTTCCATTTTTTATCGTCTATTAAAATCCCCCGCTTTGTGCCTGTAACCTGAACTTTTGTGTCATCAATCACGGCACTTGTTTACTGGTACAAATTTCCCGAACCTGATTCATTTCATCTGGTTTTTTTTTTTTTTTTTTTTTTTTTTTTTTTTTATAAATGATAAATATTTCAAGAAATTATTGATCCTATTATAATACTGAATTATTAATTAAATCATGTAATGTAATCAGTGTTTCGAGACTTAAAGACATTTAAAAAATGTATATATTTCTTTTTTTAAAACTTAAACGTAGCCTTTTGTATCGAAACCTATTTATCTTGAACAATTACTAATTATTTAGTTCCTAGTACAACAGAAAAATGGAGGGATTCATCGCTGAGTAAAACACAATGACATAATCTTATTGAAAATACACATACATGCACTAATAACGCTTCGAACTTCAAAAAGGAGATAAAAAATTAAGCGATTAAAAATATCAGAATTAAAACAAAACAAAATAAGATGTGTTTGTGAAACACTATGCGCCCGGCGGCAACAAAGTTCTAAAATGCAATTTTTAGCAAATAGGTCACAGTCAAGATCACACAATCATTGTCCTTGGTGTCATTTGAGAGCACTTAATTAGTGGAGTATGCATACCAAATAGAAAGTCTCTATCTCCTATGGTTCAAAAGTTATGGCGAAAGTTCGAAAAAGCTATTTTTAGCATATATAGTCAAGGTCATTGACGTTGTTGGTTTTTGAAAGAACTTAGTTAGTAGAGAATTCATAATAAATATGAAGTCTCTATCTCCTATGGTTCAAAAGTTATGGCGAAAGTTCGTAAAAGATATTTTTAGCATATAGGTCACAGTCAAGGTCATAAGGTCACTGACCTTGGTGTCAGTTGAAAGTGCTTAATTGGTTGAGTATGCATACCAATTATGAAGTCTCTATCTCTCACGGTTCAAAAGTTATGGCGAAGGTTAAAGTTGACAACAGGCAGACAATCAGATAAACAGATAAACATACAAACAGACAGACAGGACAAAAACAATATACGCCCCGAATAAATTCGGACGCATAAAAATGACGCCCACCAAAGAATTTAATTCGATTTTTTATTAACAAAACATTTATGTATCTTAGAACACCCACCCTTATTTCTCTCAGTATAAGTGCTTGGGTTGTCATTCCTAATTGTTCCGAAAACCTCCTTAAAAGTCATTCACCATTGATGATCACCACTTGGCCAAACGGAAATCCATCTCTGAATGATCAAACATTTTCCCCAAGCATCTGTCTAAAAACTTCAAGTCTACAGTCATCAAAACGTACAACGTTACACAATTTTTTTGTCAGTTGACTGAGTGTGTTTATATATTGTGCATTTATTCATATGTTAAATTTTGTAGAGAATACCGGGACGGAAAACAAAGGTCTGGGGCGTTTTGGATGGAAAAGAACTATTTTTCTACAGGGAAAATAAGGTACGTTTTAGATCTCATATATATTTTTTTCGATATTAAGTTGAAATTAAAAAGGACATATTCATGAACTCGATGAACTCAGTTCTAATCACGGTGTTACATGTACACTTTTGAACTGAAAATTGGTAGGCTGGGATTTTTTAAGATGTATTGCATGTTTGAGAACAGTGCGACATTTACCAGAAAATAATATTTAGTATAAGGAGGAATGGGATTAATAAGTATTAGCCAAGTTTATAAGATATATACAAATATACGGGAATAGGAGCGTAATGGCACAGAACCATAAAGTTGGGGAAACGGGGGGGGGGGGGGGGTTGTTGTTAAACATGGATTGCACATATTTAGAGGTTTATGTACATCCTTGTGCCTTTCTCTCATAATTTTATCTGTCTCAAGTCATTGTTCTAAATTAGGAGTAATTTAAGGTTTTAGAAAGCTGTAAAGCTGTATAATCTGAATGTTTTGTGTTTATATTGTGAATTCGTCACTAACCACAGAGAACTAATTAGCCTGTACATGTTGTCTACAGACACACAAATATGACAAGTTGACAACAGATTATCAGGTTCAGGACTATCCTTCCTAACTGTAATTCAGTACGCTAAATGACTCATTTTAATAGGTATACGACCAATACTTAACAACCAATTACTTTATGACTGAATTCTTATTGCTAAATATAAATTGCAATCATTAAGATGATATGAGGAAAAAATGAGGAAAAAAACCCATTTAATGGGTGGCGATATAGGATACCCGCCTCCCAACCCTCCAAAGTGTTGGTATTGCATTGAAAAGAAAAAAAACCCTTATTATAATTTGATCATTGGGAGAAATTTGAAGGCAAAGACCTGAAAACTTTGTCAGAATGAATTGTTTTAGAAATATCTCAAAAGAATCTTAGTTCATATTATACATAATAATATTCACTGTCACATGAATTAGGTGTTTTAATTTCCCAACTTAATTATTCCATGATCAAAGTAAGAGCACACTCCTGATGCTATATGTTCAATTTTTAGAGCAATTTTTTGTCAGGCTACTTACAGATAAGTTGATGTACAGAGATTGAAGTTTCATCATTTAATTCTATGGTCGTTATAGTGACCTTGACAGCAAGGTCATGCATATTGACCGCGGAATGTTTCCTCTACCTGATCAAAACCTAGGGCTGACGGCAGATGTGACCGGTCAACAGGGAATGCTTACTCCTCCTTGGCACCTGATTCTACCTCTGAAGTTTCTTGTGGGGAGGGAGTTCCGTGTTTTAACCCTGTTCAAAAACTTGTATTGTTTGAAGTTTTTTTAAAAAGATATCAACCACTGTTCTTTATCTTCACCTTGTTCATTGTTCACACATTTTAATCATTCGATGTGCATTATCAAACCTTTGAAGTAGTTCGTGAGAGGTATGTGACCTGTATTTTTAATCTTTCGGGAAATTTACGGGAGATTCATATGTTAAAAGTAGTGTACACATGAAAATCTCGGCTCCTGGATGGTTTTCAATTACTGAGCGACTTTTTTTTTCAAACATCAGTTCTTTTTATGTAATATTACTTCTTGAGGTATTGTTCCTGTTTAAGTTTCTGTTCGTGGAAGTATCATAGGACTCTGTTGTTTTTAAGGTTTGCTGGCTTTTTCACTCATCTAGAGTTAGACCTTGCCTCTTGCAATAGAATTTATGGTAAAATTTAGGAACTCGTACAAAAAAAAAATTAATTTGCGAATTCAAAAATATCTTATATTCCAAAATGATTTATCAATAAATTCATTAAAAACTTCCAATTAGCAACAAGTGTACATGTACATCACGAGATGTTAAATTAATTTCTTAAATTAAGATTATAGCTTTGCACAAATCTATGATAATTAATTTTTTTTCTAAGTTTGTCTACACCATTATGGTTAATTGATATCGCCCGAAGAATTAATTTTCATCTGCATGCGATTTTTCCTTTGTAATATACCCTCCCTTTAGTTATACATGTGTATGACAATGTACGTATATACATGTATGTAATTGAAGATCAATCGATTATCAAAATTTACATACAGAAAACAGGAAATCCCCACAGAATCTCTTGGTCTTGCTGTAAATTGATAGTATACTTCCTCTTCGTTACAAGTACCGTATTTCAGCTGAATTCCGGGTGAAGTTTGCCCCGGCACTGGTCACACAGATACATGTATACGATAGTAACAAAATATAGGAATACTTAATCAAACACTTGTATTGATGAGACTATGTATTTTATTTTATATAATTATACATCAATAAACATCGTTTAGCAACAAATATTATTCTTTTGCTATCATTTTCGTACCCATGTACATCAAAGAGCAAACAGGAACTGAAATTTATTGACTCGGAAAAATTAAATTATACTTTTTCTGTATTTTTATCACGATATAAATGTATTTCCTGTGTAACTTTTTTGTTTCTCATAAAATGAAAGGAAAATAATTACGCATTTCAATACATTTTTGTAGAATAATTTTTTTTTTCATCTCTATAATATCTCTGACATTTCATCTTCGAGTACTTCAGGAACATCCAGTATAAGGTCAAGTAGACAATCGAACGTGTCCCCTCCAACCCTTATCAAAATATCAATATGAAATATTTGCTTAAAAACTAGGCAGGAAGTATTTCATAAGGATTTTACTGTCGCTTCACTCAACTGTTGAAATTAAATCAACTTTTTTTCTACGAATTTAACAGAGGTCATCTTGCATCGGTTCGCTGGATTTGTCACTCGTGAGGAAAATAGAGAAAGTGGTTCCCACAGGTAGCGAATTTCTCATCGACTATGATGGCCGATATGCCCTTTATGTAAGTATTCTGAATTTTATTCATTTTTAGAGAAATATGATATTGAGAAAAATGTTACTTTTACGTTTCTTGAAACACTTCATCCAACGATCATGGCAGATTTCACGCTGGGACAGGTATAAATTGGTGAAAGGTGACAATCATTTGACAATGCAGTGAATTATTTTTAACAGTATGGTCTTGTCCAGAGTTAATTTGTTTTTGGCCTAAACCGATTTTTGAAACGTGGTTAAATCATTGTAAGAGTCGGTAAAGGAATAAAATTTCATCTATACCGTATTATTGATGTTAAAATTTCCATAGAAAATGGAAGGTGTTTTTCTCCATAAATAATCATGCAGCTATTTTGCACGTCTCCTTGTTCCGCAAGAGAGGTCTAGAGCAATAAATTTATGACTGTTTTACATCTTGTTGAATGTAAATATGCTTTTTTAATAAAGAGATTTATCAATGCAAATAGCAATACCGTTATAAATCAATTTAATTCTGCACACCATTTACATAATTTACAAGAATTGGCCCATTTCGTTATCTTGGTGTAAAAAAAATGTTATGAGTCAGCTATTGACTCAATTAATCATGAGCCAACTGCTGCAAGAAAATTTACAGGAATTGCGCAGCGAAAGACTCTTGAGTCACCAAATGATATTTCAGTCTTGTTGCCGGAACAAGGGATGATCATATTGTGTTAAGATGGAATTTCTATTATATGGATATTAGAATGATTTTTTGAATAATCTGATGTTTTACAAATTTTTAACAGACTGCTGAGAACAGTGTGAAGTGTGATGAATGGATAACATACATTACACAAGTTATCCAGTCCTCAAGCAAAAGTAACCTGTGAGTATATATACCTCAGCTAATTTTTTCTTTTTAAAAAATGGACTGTCCACTTCATATAGCTGCATGTAATGGCTGTCAAATGGTTTACACAGTCACTTTTGTTCAATTTTATTATTCATTTTCAGACCTCCTATTGCTGGCCAAGCCAATGCAACAGAAACTTTCAAGGACAAAAAGACAGACGACACTACAGCATCAATCAAATCCAGAACTGAGACCCTGCAACCTTCTGAAAACAACTCTGGAAGGCAAATAACAGTTAACAAACCATTCCCTGTTCAGAGAGAAGTTCAAAACAAACCTAGAGTGAGTGATAAACCACAAAAACGACCATTTTCTTACAAAAAGGAAGACATTGACAGATCTTCTGACAAACTGGTAAATGTTAAGTGTGTAGAGACAGTTCAGAAAAATGTACCTGCAAAGGATGTCAATTTCACAAAGCTAAATTCTCCTTTGAAGGAAGCAGGCAAAGAAAGTGTGGATCAAACCCCAAAGAATTGTGTAACGAAAGTTTGCAAAGAAAATGTCGCAAAGGAAGTCTTTCGTTCAAATTTAAATGTTAAAACTGAAGCAAAGTGTGATAGTAGGAAGCCTGAAATAGCAAAGTCCCTGAAGAATTCTATAACGGAAAACATTAACACAAGGAAAACCGATATAAAACCGAATTTAGGAAATAGAACAAGTTCTTCCCTTCCCCAAACTGAAGAAGAAGATACTAATAATAGGCCAGATTCTGGGTATGAAACATTAGCCGGCAGTGACAATAGAAAGAGTGTTATCACAGAAGGGTATGGAGAAGTCGATATTTCTTCAGTGGTTCTGAGAAAAAGCAGAAGATCAATACTAAGCAGCACCATGAACAATCCAGAATTGGAGCTTCCAAATATGGAGTCAGGGTCAATTTTAAGGGGACCAAAAGAAACAAATTGCAAGGTTTCAGACAAAGATTCTTCTTGTGCAAATACTCTTGAAGAAAAGTGTATGAAAAAAGAAAAGTCTCTGCTCAGCAATGGTGATATTCACAAAGACAAAACTTCAGAGTTGGATGATGTTTATGAAAATGTAAATACTGCAAGGGTTGAGATAAAAGAAGAGAACAATTCTGAGGAAACTGAAGAAGAAGAAGAAGAAGGAGATTATGTTGTACCTAGGCGTAGGAATATTGTTAGCAAAAGAAGCACAATGGTTGATGTTCATGTCCCTCAAGTTGTCATTGAAGCTGATGAAGACGATGAAAATGATGACTATACACAACCATCATCAGAAGGTGGTTTGTTAACAGAGGAACAAGAAGACTTGTTAATAAATCTAACATTTGAACCAATTGAAGACCTTCCCTTTAAATCGAACAATTTACAACATGATAAGTTAGATTTCTCAGAGATCCAAGGTTTTGTAAAAGGTAGCAAATTTCAAAGCAGGAGTTTGGTTTCTTCAGGCAAAAACCCAGTAGAGAGTTTACGCCAACTCCTTGACAAATTGTAGGCTTTCAACCCTGAATTCAAGTAGAATCTCCTTGTTAGCACAGGATGAATCTACAACATTCAGTGAATTGAAAAATGACTGTTGGTTTACTGAATGTTGACTGAATTGCAGAACTCAGTCATTCAGTGAAATATCCAGACCATACAATCACCATCAGTGGTGGATCCAAGAATCTTGAAACATAGCCACACCCAAATATTGATATATTAAATATTATGTATATTTTCGACACAAAAGGAGGAAGGGGGAGGGAAGGGTCCCTTCTCCAGTGACATACAGTTGACTGAATGGTGAAGGTTTATCCTGTGTTAAATATAGTTTAGTCTCTCTTACATCATAAATTAAAATGTATTGAATATGCATTTCGAAGACACAAATACAATTTTTTGCAATATACTCTTATGTTGCATTTGCTCTTCAAATGTCAGTATGTGGAGTGAATAGACTGAATTGAATGTGGTACATGTATTTGTATATAAGGTTACCGAACTTTGCACTGAGGTAATAATTTTAATAAGTGGAAAAGTAGTACATGTTAAACATATCGTGCAGTTTACGTCCCTATATGAAGTGCAAGCAAAATATAATAAGGAAAATTTGCATGGGTAAAACTTGACAGTATGAATATGTTGGCTTGTTTGGCTTACAAAAAGAACAGCATTATGCAATATGTATGCATGAAGTGTTGAAAGCTGACAAAATACTACTAGCTTAGCTGGCAACAAATTTTGCAAAAGTAATACATTTGCTTTTTTCTGTTCCATTCTGTAAATATTACATGTACTTGTATTACATATACATGCATTTGTAGAACTTAGAACAAATTATTCACACAAATTTTTTTTTACATATGTGCAGGTTTTAATGCATATGTATATTGCAAGGAATTGCATTTATATAATGTTTATAAATTAATTGCATTCTCCACTGTGATCTTGAATGCTAGTCAAATTATAAAAAGACTAACTCATGCTTTCACTTTTTCTAATTATATAAGGCAAAGGGCAAGATACTAGTTACTTTTTATGTGTAAATTATGATATTGAAAAAATGCAATGCCAGTACAATGCAATGTCTCAAACACCTGTTAACTTTGTCAATATTAATGGTCTCATTTTTTAAAAATCTTCTTCCTTTAACTCGCTCTCTCTCTATATATATATACATGTCTTGAATATATAATATATACATATGTATCATTCCTATATTGCAAACTTGTGCTGTGCAATTAGTAGTTTTTTTTAGAAAAAAAAATATACAACAGAGATAAAAATAACTGATATGTACAAGTTACAACTGATGTCTTGGAATATATCAGGGACGTAGCATCCGGGGGGCCTGCCCCCCCCCTCCACACTTTTTTCCCCAACATAACCTTTACTATAGTAAATGTTCATTGATAGGTTGGTTGCCCCCCCCCCCCCCCCCCACACACTTTATAACCATAGTATAGTGATATCAAGGATTATAAGGAAAAAATTGGTAGTGATAGTAAGTTGGCTTTGAAAAAGTTGGCCACTACCCCCCCCCCCCACTTTCAAAAACGATGCTTCGTGCCTGTATATGCATGTATTTTAGTAGAGTTCAGCAATTTTCTTATTCTCTCTTATTCCATTAAAAAAGTTCTATTAAATAGTGCACTTTGTTACATTTCTTTCAAGGTTTGTCACAATATACCACAGATATTTGGAGCTATTTAATTCAATCGACAAAACTTAGAGGGGGTATATTAAAACACCCCATTTTATCAGTCTTATTAAAGAAATCTAAATGCTTTTGTCATGTATATGCTCAGTATCTCAGTTTTTGCTGACAGACAGACAGAGCAAAAACTATATAACCCCTAATCTTTGATTACAGGGGCATAAAAAAGATGGATATTTTGAATCCGCAATTAGATTACTAGACCTTACATAATTTCTCTGGTTAACCTATCTATTTAGTTAAAATTATTTCATTTATTCATCCATGAACTTCCTCCTTATTTAGTGAGTTTGTGAAACCATTTAGATATCCAATGAACACCCAATTGTCAACCTAAAAAATTTTTAGTAAGCAATTCTGGTGTAAAATTTGACATTTAACATTTTAAGGACGCGATTGCACGGCGTCACGTGATCACGTCATTTGGTGAATAAAAAAAGAATGTTTGCTGTAACTATTTCCGGAATAAGGGGTGTCATATGTTTGCGCTCATGACAAAAGGGGTTTATTTTTCTAAACTAAAAGTATCAAAAATTGTTACAATGCACTGAGAGTGTTGCTAAAAGTTGATCATATTTTTTATCTACGTGCATGTTTTCCGATTTGACACGTCTATCTATTGTATATCTCTGAACTTTGAAATCTATTTCATTAAAAATCAATTTGATTTATATCTTGAGGTCTATATCTTCATTTAAAAATAAGAAATTTATTTAAAATTGTTGTTTATCATAGGATCTACATCTATATATAGATAATTTCCGAAAAGAGATTCAGACGGCGTGATTTACTAGATACATGTATAAATATTGATGAACGCAGGCGATTTTGATAAACGTGTTACGGTGAAGACCACTTATGCCTAGAAGACAGCTCTTAAAAAGATATCGTAGAGGATTTTCTTTTCTCCTATAAGATCTTTTGCATTTTCAGTAAACATTCATTCTAATGCAATTGTATTGTAAAACACGTTTTGATTGGCTAATGCACTAATGTTTGAAGCAGTAAAACGAGCATTAACGAGCGTGAAAGCTTTTTCATTGTGACGTCATAATAGAGCGACGCAAAAACACAATGCTCCGTGACGAAATTCAACAAAATAAGACGTAAACAACAAACAAATGCATTGATTGCATTAGAATGGGAATAACTAAACTTCTAATTTGGTATTTGTGACCGTTAATGCTGATTTAACGGTCGCAAACATCCGTTTTACCGGCTCCGCTTACGCCGCCGTCACGCGTTAAATCAGCATTAACGGTCGCAAATACCAAATTAGAAGATAGTTATTCCCTAAATCATCGTCGCACATATATTGTAAACGATTGTTGTAAAATGTTTTATGCGTCGTATTGAAACACTACGGCGCCGCTGGAGGGCCAGGTAAAAAAATATTTTTATTTGTTCGGACAAATTAGAAATTCGTTCGGACGAATTAGTTATTTGTTCGGACGAATTAGATATTCGTTCGGACAAATTAGTTATTTGTTCGGACGAATTAGATATTCGTTCGGACGAATTAGATATTCGTTCGGACAAATTAGAAATTCGTTCGGACGAATTAGAAATTTGTTCGGACGAATTAGTTATTTGTTCGGACGAATTAGATATTCGTTCGGACAAATTAGTTATTTGTTCGGACGTATTAGATATTCGTTCGGACAAATTAGAAATTCGTTCGGACGAATTAGTTATTTGTTCGGACGAATTAGTTATTTGTTCGGACAAATTAGAAATTCGTTCGGACGAATTAGAAATTTGTTCGGACAAATAAGTTATTTGTACGGACGAATTAGAAATTCGTTCGGACGAATTAGTTATTTGTTCGGACAAATTAGAGAAAATATGAACAACTGTCAGAACACCGCGATTAATGTACGATTTGCACCAAGATGCTTCATTTTATTTTGATTCTTTGCAAAATAACTTTAATGAACAACATTATCAATAAATATTTTGAAAATAAGTCTTTTTAATTTTGATCTCTTTCTTATAATTTTTATGTGCATATTCACCACCCTGCATTTATTAGTCATGACATGTGAATAATTTTTGAAATACATTTCTGATACATATGTCTTCGATATGTGGCTGAAATATTGCCGATTCGGCGTAAAACATTCAATCAATCAATCTGGTACATATGCGGTGTATAAAATGAAAAAAGTCCCTCATTGAGTTTTAAATTAAATATTCCTGTTTGTGAATTAAGAAAACTTCACAAAAAATTGAACCTGTTCGTATTGATATCAGGTTGTTCCTATGACTCGCGGGCCGGTGAATTAAGAAGTCAATCTGGTATACCAGGGTATTCCCTAGTCCATTGATTTACAGAGCATAATTATAGCCCCCTCCCCTTATTGGAGAGGTACATGTAGTCGAACAAACTATTTAATTTCACTCTCGGCATTTCTTAATTTTGTTTATACGCTTTTACAGTTGAGTACCAGTTCGAAGGCTTGATAGGCCAATGACTCACTAGAAAGGGGAATAATGAAACCAACCCCTTTTATGGGAAAAATAAATCATGAATGAATGAATGTCAAAATATTTTCAAGTAACAACCCCCCCCCCTCCTCTATTTAAAAACGATCGATTGTCTTAATCATTGAGAAGCTTAACTTGCATTAATGCACTTTCTAGGAACGTACATGTATTAATCTATTTTTTATCCTTTTCCCGGAAAGGGGCGTGTGTTTAATTTGGTCAATATTATACCTGCATGTTTTAATTGTAATAATAGTTTTTAACGATCTTAGAAAGAATCCATTGGAGATGGACTTATGAGATTCCCTCTTTTTGTTCCTTTATCACAAAATACTTAAATGTGGGAACAGCGGTATAGAAGCAAAACTAAAAATGTCCTAGCTAGTAAGCCCCACCTTAAAAAAATTAAGACCCATCGAATAAGAGGCATTATATTTTGAGTCCGAAGTTTATATAATATAATACAATACAGCCACGTAGCAGCGTTTTTGAAAGTGGGGGGGGGGGGGGGGGGGGGGGGGGGGGGTTACCGAAAAAGTTGTCAAAAGCAAAAAAAAGGGACACAGGAAAAGTTGCCCAAAATTTAAGGTCCTATTTCGGGGCGGGGGGGGGGGGGGGCTTAATTTTTCAATGCCAATTTTTTCCCGTACCAATTGCCTGCAGAATGAATAAAACCCTAAGGAGTGGATTTCATCTTTTCAAAGATGACTGACAACTGGCACCCCGGTGTTACCAATTTAACACCACCAGCAAAAGTTGGTCTGGTAGAATCAGATGATGTTTATTTATGACAAATCTTATGAGTGTGTCAGGGATGGGAGTGAAAAGATGTTTGATAAGAAGTAACAGAACCTTTGAATTTACTAGTGGGCTCTCAGATAATATACTTTCAGAATGGCAGACTTCATATCTATAATATATATAGAACCATTATTTCTGAATATTTACAATCAACATACCCAACTTTAATAGCACATGTCTAGTTGCAACGTGTGTATGTCAAGGTCCAAAGAGCTATTTATGTATTAAAAAGGGATGAATCCTTTTGAAAAGACAAATTGTATATCTCTCTTTACAAGATAATTTGTGCAAACATCTAATTTGTCCGAACAAATAACTTATTTGTCCGAACAAATTTCTAATTCGTCCGAACGAATTTCTAATTTGTCCGAACGAATATCTAATTCGTCCGAACAAATAACTAATTCGTCCGAACGAATTTCTAATTCGTCCGAACAAATAACTAATTCGTCCGAACGAATTTCTAATTTGTCCGAACGAATTTCTAATTCGTCCGAACAAATTTCTAATTTGTCCGAACGAATTTCTAATTTGTCCGAACAAATAACTTATTTGTCCGAACGAACTTCTAATTCGTCCGAACGAATTTCTAATTTGTCCGAACAAATAACTTATTTGTCCGAACAAATAAAAATATTTTTTTACTTGGCCCTCCAGCGGCGCCGTAAAACACAACACACTTATTCTGAAAGAATACCGGGGAATATATGAACATAAATAAATAAAAGAAACATGTGCACTCATCATGCTTATGGGAATACATTTGAAAAATGTTTTTTTTTTAAATCACAAGGACATTAACATAGATGTTTCACTCCAGCGTATATCATAAAGCGGCGACTTTATGATTTATTTTTTTAAAATCAAAACAGTAGATCTATAGTTTTGACGTCAATTGTGTCATTGTGACGTCACAATGGAGATAGCGCTAATCCATGTACAGGAGAAAATGAAGTGTACTTATATACTTGAAAAGAATCGGAAGAAAAACTATTTGTAAATGTGAATATTTAGAATTATAATAATTTGGCCAATAAGATAATTTATGGATGAATACATTTATTTAAAAAATATATATAATGCAGCTACAAGTAAAATGTAAAATAACCTCTTTTCATTCAATGTGTTCAAATGTCTGACCCCCCCCCCCTCCCCCTCCCCCCCAACTCCTCGATTCCAGGTCACTAAGAAGAAACATCGAAGAGCGTTCAAACCATGGGGAATAAGGCTTTTGAGGACTGTGCACTGGTTTATAATATATTATTTATATTATACTGATCTAGTTAGTTACAAGATGAATGTTTTGGAGATGAAAAACTGAGTTTGAAAAAAACTTTTTTTCGTAACCACTGTCGGTGATAAGTAAATCATTGTGCTTCTCATATAAAATGAGCATAAGCTGCCAGAATTTCAGAGAAAAAAGTATTTCTTATCTATACATATGGTCTTTATTGTCTTTAAACAGATTCTGCATATTTAAGGTCAAACAAAAAACCATCAAATGAAAATCGTTGAAATCTTTTTATATTCTAGGAAAGGGGGGGGGGGGGTACTGAAATGCGTGTAGCTTCAAAATTAATCTGATTACCTTACTTCATATTTTAACCATTAGTCATTTATAATGACTAGTACAGCATATATTAGTTTTGGGAAAAATCATTGGGTAATTTTTTGTCTAGACGTTAAAAACTGCTATTGAGGTGAAAATATTACTGCAAATTTACAATTCATACTTCCCCAAAACACAATGGCATAACTACATTTATCAATAGTTTCCGGAACAATTTTTATTCTCAATAAATATAAAGTATATTTTTAAATACCTGCAGGAAAATATTTAATTTGCTTCAATTTTGTTGCGTGAAAGGCAGTATAAAACATTCACCTCATAAATATCAAAAGTTTAAAAAATGGTGGTTACCATGGCAACCATAACTTCCTTATAAGCCTGATGATCATGCTTGATACTTTGATATAATGGTATCATTGACATTAGGAACATTATATGTAAAAATGAGAAAAATTCATTGGGCAGAATTTTTTCACGGACCCGTGCAATCCTTTCCTTAATTGAATAAAAACACTGGCAGTTTCAGATTATCGTGTTTTGATCCTGCATTCTTGACCTGGACAAGAACAAAAATTAGAACAGTCTGCTCTCAGGTCATGTTGTCATTTTATCTCGTCATTATCAAAAACCTAAACTTCATTTGTTTTTGAAAAAAAAAACTTGAACCAGGAAATGCAAAGAACAGGAAATCAACCTGATTCCAAGATATGGTGAAAATAAAAGATTGAACTTGATCTCGGAATGAGGAAGTTAAATTTCCACATGTTGATGACAAGGAAGAGAAATTTGCATCACATACATGCTGATGTTTATTTCAAAACAATATCAAAAACAAATCTGACTCATGATTCTGTCTAATATAAATAGAGCTTAGTACAATGTTTGAGAAGAACGAGATTGTTCATAAATATAGGCTATTTTTAAAGCAACAATTTTTACATTACATGATTTTACACTTGCTTTAATACCAAAATTCATTTCAAAATCATTAATAAATACAAGTAAAAAAAAAATTGTTAAAAGGGAAAACATTATTGTACTACATTGTAAATTTTTTTTTGCACTTTCATATGATTTTCATGACTTCTTCAATAAAAAAAATTCTTTACATTGTACATGCACCTTTATATATTCCTCAAGCAAAATGTCCATTAGGAAAGTATTATGCAGTGAATTCACAACAAAGGAAATTACATGTATGTTATTACATGATATTAATCATTATATATTAAAAACCCATTGCATTGTACAAACCAAAACACTGTTATTACCTGTACACATTTGTACACGTAGTAGTATAATAATATAAACCTTTTTAATTTACAATGCAGTAAACCTTGGTTATAATGAAGTTGTCAGTACCTGTGAAATTACTTCGCTATATCCGTAATTCGTTATATCTGTATAAAGAATTCATCAAATTTACATAGCTGGGGATCCAAGATAAAAAAAATTACTTCGCTATATCCGTAAATTCGCAAATCCGTGTTCGTACTAAACAAGTTTTACTGCAGTAATATAATAATATAAACCTTTTTTAATTAACAAAACTTATGTATCAAATCTTTGATGCAACAATTTGAGAAAATAAATGCTCCAATTTTCTTGCCAATTCAATGACTCAGGGTTTTTTTATCACAGACACCAATTAAATAAATTCACTTGATCCTTAGTCCGCTGTAAAAGCCTGAAGACCGGTGATCGCTCGACCCAAAATCAAGGCATGGATGTCGTGTGTGCCTTGAATAGAAAGTAACTCATGTAAATACATGACTTGTATTAATAAAGTATGCCATTCCAAAGCATATAATTTTTCTTCTTTTTTTTCTCCTTTAAACATTTTCAAAGCGTAAATTTATATACGTGTTAATCCGACCTTGAAATTCTTTAAAAACAATAGATTTCAAGAGATCTGAAAATTCCCAATTTTTAACTTGAAAATCTACATTTTTTTTTATATTACCACTAATCAATTAGTAATCATATACATTCGTTCAAGGTTTAACAAAATATGGTGGCTTTACTTTGCAATTATACTAAAATGTATATTCAAGCAATTTTGTTAAATTGAAATGTTTGATATCCTCTAAAATTTGCACAATTTCAGTAAACCCATAAAAACTACTAGAAGACTGAATACTGATTTGATTAACTTAAACTATGTGTACTTAACTTCTAGCATTGAAAAATTACAGAAGAGTTTTACCTTCATATGTGTTGACAGCTTCCAGGTTCATGACATGCCTGATGACGTGGTACTCATCCGAGATTCCATTTCCTCCGAGCATATCTCGAGCTACGCGAGCAATATCCAGGGCCTTGCCACACGAGTTTCTCTTGATCATTGAAATCATTTCTGGTGTTGCTCTGTTAAACACAGATATCAAATTAATTATTTTAAATTCCCTTTGATACAGGTAGTATCACTAGTATGTCACTATGAATGTACAGAGGAATAATGAATAAACTTCTTTGAAGTTATTCTTAATTTGAATGAGCAAAATGGATTTGCAATAAAGTAGTTTCTGTCTTATTGAAAATAAGCTGTATAATGAATTTGCCTTGTCAGAAATACAAATGGATTTTTTAAAATGCTAAATATCTATAGATAGGGTAAAGTATGTTATATTACTAATTCTACCACGGTTATTGAAAACTTCAAAGGAAGCCGCCGGACATTATTCTCCAATAAATCACGAACGTCATCAAAAAATTATCAGATCAGAAACACGTATCAAATGTGAACAATTCAAATGCATGTTTGGCTGCAGAATGAAATACTTGTTTAGACCGCATCGATGTGTCGTCTTTTGCAGTATAAACACTGTAAATTGCATCAAGTTGCTGATGAATGTTGGTTTTTATAGCTAAGCGGGGCTATTCCACGGACCTCCCTACACATTAAACAATGTGATTTTAGCAGTAAAACAAGAACATGATTTTGTTTTTGTATATTCATTTTAACTGATCAATACATATTACGAACAAATTTGTAGTTTAAAAAGACTATTTTTAATGCAACGAAAGCTCAAATCGTCTGCATTACATATATAGGTAAGTCAACAAAATTTCTCTATGGTGTTAAATAGAACAGCGTAATCGAGACATGGTGACCTAATTCGTTTCTCTATAGAGGAAACAATCGGCCGTATTTATCACCCTTGGTAGAATAGAAATAAAGTCCTTGTTGTCGTGAATGATGCAGAATAACCTCCTCGGTCTCGAAATGTTGTTTGAAATATAAAAGCCTCGGCTAACGCCTCGGCTTTTATCTTTCAAACGACATTTCTCGACTTCGGAGGTTATTCTACAACATTCACAAAAACGCGGACTTTATTTCTTAATCCAGTGCCCAAATGGGCATCAAGAGAACAAACTAAAGAAGGAAAAGCCTAAAATACAAGTGAAAAAATTATTAACACCTAAACATGTCTACACATACTTACTTTCCCTCGTCCTTTAACCTCCCGACCTGTAAACAGGCCTGAAGGCCGATTGAGATTTCTGTGAGCATGTCTGCCATCTTCTTCTGTGGAAGTTGATTTTTGGCAAGAGGTTTTCCAAATTGAAATCTGTAGAAAGAAATTTTTTCTGTTTACATCATTTCTGGTACACTTGAAGAGGAAAAGGGCGGTAACTCTTATTGTAGGTGGATTCAATCATTTTTTGACATAAAATTTATCTGAGCAAAGGAACAGGGAAGGACAGACATGAGGAACATCCCACACCAATAATATTTTGATCCTGGTTGTTACACATTTTAACCTTTTTACAGAGACTCAAAACGACAAAATCACAGAGAACTGTACCTTATAATCAATAGTTACCTGTCCATTGTGTACTGTCGAGCAGCTTCCAGACAGAATTCAGCTGCACCAAGTGTTCCCCAAGCAATTCCATATCTAGCATTGTTAAGACATCCAAAGGGACCCTGGATAAGAAAGTATAGAGGTACATGTATGATGAATTTACAGTCCTATAATGTAATCTAGGTCAAAAAAATAATTCTGCATAGAATTTTTTTCTTAATACATCAAAAAGACTTTTTACATGTGATATCCTTTTTTAAAAATATGCTTATATTTTTATAAGACAGAGGGAAAATTATTTGTGAACGTATATATATTGGGATTCACTATTCCTGTGCACTATACTCCTACAAGAGGTAACATCCCTATGCTTCTAATATATATGGTGCCCAGTCAAAAGTATCTCATCGTGAAGCTCTACATGTAGCATACTGGAGTATGTGCACTATAGCTTAAAAAAAAAGAATATTGAAATGGAATTCATTTTTAAATAAATGCTTCATCAAGTACGCACCCCTAAACCAATGATGTTAGGCATCATATTTTCCTCTGGGACCTCCACATCATCCATTGCGATTTGTCCTGTGATGCTGGCCCTGAGGGAGAATTTACCCTCGATCTTTGGTGCTGTCAGTCCCTTCATACCTTTCTCCAGGATAAACCCTCGAATTTTGTCATTGTCTTTATCACACTTAGCCCACACAATGAATACATCCGCAATGGGGGAATTTGTAATCCTGTAAATAGAAATTGATAAGTATCTGAGTACATGACTTTGTTCATACATGTATATACACTTACATGTAGTTGAAATATCTGGCCCTTATCAATAAGAAAATTATATTAAAATTTAATAAGAATTAAATTTGTATGTTATTTGCATGGAAGTTAAAAAAAATGTGTAATCTATCAATTTCAACTTGAAACCATTTTATCTAGTTTAATTATTTAAAGTTTGAATTTCAACTTTTTTTGTAATCTTGGTGTGGCTGACAGAAGTCCCAGCGTCTAGTAACTGAAGTGAAGAAAAAGGCAACAGCATGTTGCTGTGCAGTTTGTAGGCTGTATACATACCATGACTTTGTCCCATTGAGTGTGAAGGTTTTACTTGAGGGGTTGTATCTGGCTTTTGTCTCCATGGATGATGGATCACTGCCGTGATTGGGCTCTGTTAGTCCAAAGCAACCAATCAGCTCTCCCTTAGCTAAAATATCAAAATAACATTGAATTATAACTTAATACTGTTTAAATCCTACTTTAAATGAAATGTTTACTCAGCATTGAAAAAAAATTCACTTGTAACACAAGCTATGCTAACCCATGTTATCACACCTAAATCATATGTTAATATACATGTATATATCTAAATAAAGTAGTATTACCTAGTTTTGGTATATACTTTTGCTTCTGTTCTTCTGTGCCATAAGCATAAATAGGATGCATGACAAGTGAGGACTGGACACTCATAGCTGACCTATAGCCACTGTCCACTCTGGTAAAAAGATTGTAAATAAAGGGACATAACTCTTTAACTCATTGCACATGGCAGGATTTCACCTTCTTCACATGCAACATACCTGAACTATAATCATGATAATATATGAATATATAAAGGGCCATTTAGCAGAAATAGGTAATTTTGAATAATTAAATTAATGGGAAAAATGTTGGTTTAGATAAGTAGTTAATCAAATAAGATTTTATTTGTTTCATGATCATACGTGTATTGTACACACTTCTACATGTACAAAAGATTTGATAAGCGGACTCTTGCCTACATTACATGTACTAAATACAATTTCTTCATAAATCAAAAACATGTAGTGCATTTAGGGTGTACCTCTCAACTTCTCGAGCAATGAGACCATATGCAACGGAAGAAACCCCAGCACAACCATAACCTTTAATGGTGGGGCCTAGGACTCCAATGGCTCCCATTTCTGGAACAATCTCTGGGTCAAATTCTACAATTACAAATTTTAAAGGAAAAATTCACAAGTGTAACATATGGTAACTTTTGGGATTTTATATAGTTTTCACTAAATATTATCTAATTGAATGTCACTTTGGCAGACAAACATTTCAGGGGTTAGTTTACATACACATTCTTTCTAAAGTAACTAAAAGATAACAATTTTTCTACCTTAGGATCGTATTTAATTCTCAATCTTTACATCATAATTAATGGCATGGTTTGATTTGTTGTAGCTAATTTCAGCGTATTCACTGTGTTACCAAAGAAATGATATTTTTTAAAAAGTTGCAGATTTCTATAAACATTACAAAACAATTAAATAAATCAACACATCTAATGACGGTGACTCACTTTCATGTCGGTTGGCCATGAGTACTCGAGACATGAGTTTGTTGTCACAGTAAGCTCGAAAGGAATCTCGAACCATCTTCTCTTCTTCTGTCAACTGGTTTTCTAGGTTTAGTGCATCTTGCCAGTTGAATTTTGCTGTAAAAATAATTAACAAAGAATAAAACAATACTCAAAATTATGAATGATAATAAGTCCCAAGTCTTAAACGCTAAAAAGAAATTACAGGCACACATTTAAACCAGTAAATACGAGATTAGTAATTTTTCTCCCTATTTCACCATGAATAATACTTATTAGGGCACAGTTCTCTGCATTTTCTACTTCAGTTATATTCAATTTTCCAAGTAATCATGTATCATCATCGACATAAAGTTCTTTCTGAACTTTGCAAGTGTCGATAAATCAGGATATTAAAAGTTTTCAAAGTTAAATTGTTGTTACAGACAATTAAGAAGTTGCCAATGGGCCACAATGCTCACCTGAGTCATACTGGCAGAGCTGTTCTTAAGAAAAAGGTTTTACTTTTTCTTATCTCTCTACTCAATATGAAAAATTCCCAAATGGTCTTGTTATGCATTAAATCTACATAACATTGAGAAGACTTCATATCAACTCACTAGCATGTCCATTTGATCCCTTAAGGAGTGGGACAATGTACTTTTTCTGTATTGATATGTATGATTTGTATCCTGATATTTGACATATTTGAGCCACAATAAGATATGTATCACTATATATGCATTTTGAATTGGTTTAAGGAATGATTGTCTAATTTTTTGATTTCATGATGTGATCAATTGAGTGGCTTGTGTGATAATTTTCATGAACGCCGCATTATGCATAAAATTATCATGCAAGCCAATCGATTGATCATTGTCATGAAATCAAAAAAATCTGACAGTTATTCCTTATATTTACATGCTCTTGATTGGACGCTATAATCCACATGCTACAAGCCCTGCTTCTGTCTCTATCTCTTCACGTCCCACCCCACACGTGATTTTTTTTTAGAACCACGCCTATTGATGAACAGTACATTGATGCAGAAATAAAGCACATTAACTATTTGTAATTTTATCTTGGACAAAGACATTAGAAATGCAAATTTTATGAAATCTTTTTGTATTATATAATGTAGGGCTGGGACTATATATCGATATATCTGTGAGGAGGATACTCATATCGATACATATGAAGAAATTTCGAAATATCACAAAAAAAATCTGACTTCTATTTTTCTTTGTTTATTTAACATTTGGGGTTTAATATATAAAATGAAGAAGCTAAATATAAATATAGATATGAAATAAATAATAACGAACACCACTTGAGTAAAATATTTTTGTTTTACAACATATTTATAAACAACTATTTTGAATAAACTATTCTTATTTGAAAAGAAATAATTTTTTTATTTCAATGCAAAAAAAGATTTTATAATCAATTAAACATATCGTGATACATATTGTATCGTGGCTCAAATATCGTGATACATATCGATATAGAAAAAGTTGTATTGTCCCAGCCCTAATATAATGCATAGAGAGAAATATGAACTCTTGAAAAATTTACAATATAAACAACTACATCAGACAATGGACAAAGGATGATGTGACATAACTGCTATCTGGGGCCCCTTTTTCCACGACGAATTATATTTAATCTACAACGATGTTGTTAGTTTTCAAAAATGAGTGAATAAATACGACGCCTTTTGAACAGTTTCAATAGTTCAGACACTTTTTTATTATAAGGAATACTGCATTATCTATGATTTTTTAGACCCTATCACAGCTAAATTCGGCCAGGTTTGTGAGAACATTCTCTATTATGGCAAGAGAATGGGCGGGTCTTAGTACAATACAGGGATATGCTTGTCCGAGAAGACCTTATATGGCTAGTGTTATTATTTCGCACTTAGTCATTGTCCAATCCGATGACAGAACAACAAAACATGCTGGTTTACTACGTGTACATTTTTTCGCAGACACGTGGTTTAGGTAAATTTACCTGTTGTCCTTTTCTACATTTCAAACATTTATAATGGTCAGCCAATGCTGTTTAAACTTAATAATACGCATGGATTTTCTGCATTTACGGTTTTTAGGACAAGAAATGCATATGAAACTTGTATTCACCGATACTCGGGAATACCTGTAGACCTAGCGAATTGCTCACCAAACACGCTACAAAACTTGAATGTATATCATGTATATTCTATCAATTGTTTGTAACTGTATATAAATTTTACAATGGTCTCGGAAATGGTACATAATGTAGATCTGTGTCTAATCTGTGACTCAAATGCATTAAAAAATATCGGAAAGCAGTAAAATTCCGAGCATGTTTCCATACGGTAGTATTTTTGTGTTACTCACTCGTAACGAATTTCATTTAGCTGATTGGTCAGTTAGAAAGTATCGCCTGTGCTTCGATTAACATATGAATTCATTCCCGCGTCAGAAAATCTTGTTCCGTCGATCTGTTTATAATGGGTAAGGCCAAGTAGATTTTACAATTTTTTAAAAAATAGCATGTGAGCGCAGTTAGGTACAATTTTCTCCTTTCACATATAGGTAGATTTCAATAAAATACAGTGACCAGCCAAAGGAAAAAATTGTACCTATCTGCGCTCGTATATTTTAAGGGCTTCAAAGAGGGGGGCGGGGTTAAAATGCAATGGGAATTGAATGTAAACATAATACCCCTACCCCCAATAAAAGATTTATATCTTTCAAATCACGTTGCCATTTTTGTTAAAAATAGTATTCTATAAAAGTACACATATCAGTGATTAGTTACATACAAAAATTTGAATAAAATTTTGACATTTAATTTTTTGTCAGTATACGAGGGGCCGCAAGTCACCTCATCCTTTCTATCAGAAAAATTCACTTAAGTTTCAGTTTAGATGAGCTAAAGATCATGAAGATAAAAAAGTCTTATCATACCTGTTGATTTTGCAGCAGATTTCTCGCTCTTTTGTGCATCTTTTTTTCATCAAGGAAATCAGATGAATTTTTTTTAATAGTTGAATCAGAAACTTTATTGATACGCATAACATCAAGATAACAAAAATTAAAAGGAAAGAAAGAATTTTTTTTTATTAGATCTGATCTAATTATCATTTCAAACAAAATTTCTTTTAAAACTCTTAATTAGATTATAGCAACATAATGTTAAAGTTTAAGAACTGTGTCTACTGTCTAATAACATCCTCTCACCAGAGATAAAATATATCCCATTTTCATTATTGTTGCAATACACAGTCAAACCTCCTCCATCTCAAATTTGATGGAACAGAAAATCCAGATATTTGAGATACTGAGGATAAAATACTCAAAATATAAGTGATTGGAACTTCTATATCACTTTGAATTTAAATATCCGTGGTTTTTGATGTTTCAGATGTCTAGTTGAATAATTTAAATACAATTGATCTATGTTGGTAATGAGCTTTGAGATATTAATTTTATTACTAATAAAAATCCTAACACATACACAAAAACTGACCAAAAAGAATGTTATAATAAAACTTTTCAGTCTTTTAATCTGTGTTATGCAACAAATGCAAAGGTTATCGAATGACTTTCTCTCTGTGTCTTTACACAATGCAATGCATGATTCTAAGTAAGCGTATACTGTATTACAATGATGAAAAGAAACAATAGCTTAAAAACTATCATGATTTTAATTATTTTCCTTTAATGTTTTTAGCAGATCTAGAGAAATCCCGTATTTTACAAATATTGACAGTTATGTAGAAAATGAGTCAATGACGAAAATGAACTTTATAAATCAGATATGATCAAACAAAGGATACGTGCAACAGTTCCTTGAGTCCTGCAAGCTGTATACCGAGCACCTGTGTTGAAAATTAACTTAAACAACGGGGAGGTCGTTTTCATCGACATGATTATTTGTTTGTTTCGAAAGAGTATCCTTGACCTTGAGTGACACACCTCCGTTGAACATCGATCCCGATGTAAATGTTGTGCCAACATCAGAGAAACTTTGTAAAACTCGAGGTCGCAGTCTTGGTGTATGGAATCGGCCAGGAAGGGGCTATGATTTGTTAATTTTTTTCAATTAAATAAACAAGATACGTTGAATGATGCGAAATGTAGTAGATGATTCCTTTTCTACATACCATGCATACACTAGACTGGACTTTATTTTGTCTCTTTCGGGATGCTGGAAGGAAACTAGTAAATTCATGTACTGAAGAAAATCAATAAAGATGGTCTATAAACCTTGAAGTTAACTATGTATATTTTGCTCTTGATTCAAATAAGTAATGTGTACAAATAAAGAGAAATGTAATAAACACAAGATAAGAATTTCCCTACCCCGCCCCCTCCCGCAACTACATGCTGAATTAACTTCAAAATACCTTAAATTAACTAAAGTCAGTTATATATATAGTCAGTACAAATTAACTGTATGACCTAAATATATATAGCACAGTATAATCAGAGACGTATAATATGTCTCTGGTATAATACAACATAGATATTTATAGATTCAGGCCTCTGATTACAAGGAATCTATTTCGAAAGTAAAAATAGTAAACCCGACTTATTTTTTGAAAAAAAAGCCTAGATTCAGATTGTTCATATATAAACATAAATATGGAAGAAACATCTCTTTCTTTTACCGCAATCTCTACATTTACTATAATTTTTCTCTTATTACTCCTAGTCATAAAACGAAAAAGAGGAGTTAGAAAGGGGGGAAGTTGTTCAAGTTCACTTGACACATCTCAGGACAGAGGAGGCTGCAAAGAATTAAATCCAACAAGTGTGAATTATCATCTAACACGACAGTGTAACTATAAATGTGGATTTTGCTTTCACACAGCCAAAACTTCGTATGTGTTACCAACAGAGGAAGCGAAGAAGGGATTAACATTGCTGAAAGAAAATGGTAAACATATTTCATTTATTGACAATGCCTTATATTTATAATTGTTTTACAGACCCTAAAAGGTTCCACTACACCTCAGAAACGAAACGAACCGTCCCGTGCAAGCGTACCGCACAGTTCAAAAAATGAACCAAACAAAACGTACCTTTCAACAAGAGGCCCACGGGCCTTATAGGTCACCTAAGTATTGTGTAACAACTTTCAAACAATTTAATTTGGTAATTTTGTTAAACCAGAGGCCATTAAATTCACAATTCACAATTTTGAAAGAGGCACCATTGCTTATCCTAATTATAGACTTAGCATGCTTACTCTATTTACTTAATACCCAGAGGTAGATCAGAGCAACAAAGAGAAAATGCACTTCCACTTTATAACCAGTTGTGCACCTCATCCCAAAGAAACCACTAACCCTGGGGCCACATATTTCAAAATTTTGCTATCATAAAATGGTTGTTTAATACCAAAGAGCTGATTTCAAAGCATTGATTTATTTTCAGACTGTGTAACCCCCCCCCCCCCCCCCTTCGGATCCAGAGGAGGGGGGGGGGGCATAAAAATAACCATTTTGCAAGATGCACATTTCTTCATCATAAATATATATACTTATCATTGGCATAAAAACCAGGAGCAAAGGAAAAGATTTTCAAAGAATTAATGTATTTTCACTATAAAATCAATAGAGCCCCGCCCTAACACCAGATCCCCTGACCCTGTGGCCATAAAATTCACAATTTTGGAAGAGGCTTTCTTGCTCATCATAACTACATGTATGTTCTTAGTTAGTTTACTTAATACCCAGGAGCAGAGAAGAAGATTTTGAAAGAAATCATGCATTTTCACTATATGATCAATAGAGCCCCGCCCTAACACCAGAACCCCTGACCCTGGGGCCATAAAATTCACAATTTTGGAAGAGGCTCTCTTGCTCAACATAACTATGTACTTACATAGTTTATTTGATACCAAGGAGCAGAGAAGAAGATTTTCAAAGAATTAATGCATTTTCACTATATAACCAATAGGGCCCCGCCCTAACACCAGATCCCCTGACCCTGGGGTTACAAAATTCACAATTTTCGAAGAGGCACTCTTGCTAATCATAACTATATACTTAGTTAATTTATTTAATACCCAGAAGCAGAGAAGATTTTCAAAGAATAAATGCATTTTCAGTATATAACCAATAGAGCCCCGCCCTAACACCAGATCCCCTGACCCTGGGGTCATAAAATTCACAATTTTGGAAGAGGCACTCTTGCTCATCATAAATATGTGCTTGGTTAGTTTTTCAGAGAATTAATGCATTTTCATTATATAATCAATAGAGCCCCACCCTAACACCATAACCCCTGACCCTGGGGCCAAAAAATTCACAATTTTGGAAGAGGCACTCTTGCTCATCATAACTATGTACTTAGTTGGTTTACTTAATACTCAGGGGCAGAGAAGAATATTTTCAAACAAATCATGCATTTTCACTATATAACCTATATAACCCCTGACCCTGGGGCCATGAATTTCACAATTTAGATAGAAGGCTCAATGCTTATTAAAATCATGCCAACAGTTCGACTGCTTGATGTCCAGGAGTAAAGAAGAAGATTTTAAAAGATTTCATTAATTTCAGTCGTTTTGGCCCCACCCCTCAGGCCCCAGAGGGGCGGGGACCATAAAATTGACAATTTTTGTTTCCCTTCACCCATAGATGCTGTATACCAAATTTGGCTGAAATTGGTTTAGTGGTTTAAGAGAAGAAGCGGAAAATGTTCAAATGTTAACACACGGAAGAAAACGGATCGCAATAGGTCACCTGAGTGACTCAGGCGACCTAAAAAACGAACCGTAATGTGCACAAAACGAAAAGTACCGTTCACAAAACGAACTGTACCGTTTTTTAGCTCACCTGAGCCGAAGGCTCAAGAAGCTTTTTTGTTCGTTTGTCCGTTGTCTGCCGTCGTTGTTGTTGTCCTAAACTTTTCACATTTTCATCTTCTTCACAAGAAACACTGGGCCAATTTCAACCAAACTTGCCACAAAGTATCCTTGGATGTCAAGTTTGTTCAAATGAATTGCCAAGCCCTCCTCCAAGGGGAGATAATTACCAAATAGCAAAAAATTAATGGCTTCATTGAAAAATCTTCTTCTCAAGAACCAAGAGGCCAGGAAAGTTGAAACTCATGTTGAATCATTGTCAGGTAGTGTAGATTCAAATTTGTTCAAATCATGACCCCCGGGGGTAGGGTGGGACAACAATGGCTGAATGGACGGTAGAACCAATTCCATTCTCGACGTTATATAATTAGCTTCTGAAATTTACATAGCCTTCATTCACTGTTGAAATATACATGGGATAGAAATTCGGTCTAATGCCAGTTAGTGTATCGAATAACCAATAATATTGTATCGTCCAGCAAAGAGGCTAAGTCGACTCATCGTTGTCAACAACAATTTCAAGTACCTGATATCATTAATTTCTTAACCAATGAGAATCTATTCGCCATTTGACAGACGCTAAATACGTAGCGCCGAGAATGTCACGCCTTACTGAAAGTCCAAACTTACCTGGAAATGGTTCTAAAAGTTTTACATAGGATTATATTGGAAAAAACAGCGAGGCCATGATTAATCATATTTATATTGAAGCATCCTCAGGTGGTGTATACGTAGATTCTAGTTTGTTCAAATCACGACCCCAGGGGTAGGGTGGGGTCACAATGGACGGTAAAAGGTTTAAATAGCTTTATAAAGGAAAAATCTTCAAAAGTCTTCTTTATAAAAGTCTGTTGCACTCGCGCATGCGAGTCCTATATAAAGTGTTTTGAGTTTTATTTTATAAAATATTTATCATGTTTATGTTCGGTTGAACTGGTGAATTTGGAGCATAAGTGTGATAAGAATAAGAGTATTGATGAAAAAAAGAAAGAAACTATAATTCATACATTAAAAAAAAAACTTAAGGTCAATAAGAAAAGGGGTCACATGTGAAGGTCAGTTAGAAAAAGGGTTACATGTAAAGGTCAATAAGAAAAGGGGTTAAAAGTAAAAAAATTGTATAAAATCCTTACGAGAACCGTTTCTTCATTTATTAAAAAAGGAGATTATTATAAATGAATTAAGACAGAAAGAAAGAAAAGACTTTATCAAGTAGCCAATTATAAATGCTACTGCGTAAAGGCTCCACCCAAATAATTTGCATACTTTTCACCAAAGAGTAGAGTTCACAAAACGAAACGAACCATGCACAAAACGAATCGTGCCGTTCACAAAGCAAACCGTACCGTTCACAAAAGGAAACGAACTGTACCGTGCAAGTGGTGTAGTTGCACGTTTTAGGGTCTGTAATTATTGTTTCTCTGGGTACAGGGGCGTAGCTAGAACTTTGATGAAGTAGAGGCACAAATTATCCTGAGTGCGGCGAGGGATCTGGGGCTGCCCTGGTAGGGGGTTCAGGGGGTGATTTTCAATAATTTAGAATTTACACTAACCAAGGATGCTTCCACGTAAGTTTCAGCTTTTCTGGCCCAGTGGTTCTTGAGAAGAAGGCTTTTAAAGTTTTTTCCTACATGTCTATATTTCAATATATACTTGGATTCCCTATTGTGACCCCCAGGGGTCACGATTTTAAGCATTTAGAATCTACACTAACCAAGAAAGCTACCACGTAAGTTTCAGCTTTTCTGACACAGCGGTTTTTTTTAATTATCAATTATAATCAACAAGATTAAAAAATTTCTGTCTCACTCTCAATTATGGCAAAACACTTATATCAAGATCAAAATTAGATATACGTTTTAAAATTATAGGTATGGAAAAAGTGAATTTTGCCGGTGGGGAACCCTTCATTGTAAAGCGTGGCTCATACCTGGGAGAGCTGGTGAGATTCTGTAAGGAGGAACTAAAGTTACCAAGTGTTTCCATTGTAAGCAATGGGAGTCTGATAACAGAGAAATGGTTTGAAAAATATGGTGAGTTGAGTACAGCCTTTTATGTAAAGTTGTCGTTTTTTATTTAGTAAATTAAAATGATCGGAAACAAGTTCGTATTACGTATTTTCCTAATATTTTACAAAACATTGTATAATTTGAAAACAACACAAAATTAAAAAAAAAAAACGTTTAAATAAGTGAATTGATACATGTCAGATTTCTCTGTTTCAGGGGAATACCTGGATATTTTAGCTATTTCGTGCGATAGTTTTGACCCGGAAACAAACAGGAACATTGGTCGGTGCCAGAACTCGAGCAAAAAAGACCATCTGGAAAGTTTGTATCGAGTGCGAGACTGGTGCATAAAATACAAGGTGCGACTTGAAAAAGAACATTTATTCGAATAGCATTTATGATGATTTCATGATGAAATTTTTAAATCAATATTATATGCCTTATGACACTTTTCAAAGGTTGCCTTCAAGATTAATACCGTGGTCAATGTTCACAACAAAGATGAAGACATGAATGCATATATTGCTGAACTTTCACCCTGTCGCTGGAAGGTAAGTTCTCTAACGATTATTGAATCTCTTGTAAAACATGCTCTCCATGCCTTTAGAAATTGTAATGTATGACAAAGAATTTGAAAAATAGATGAATGCTAATATAGTACATTTACAATAGTATGTACTTACAGAAGATAGATTTCTACTACTGTAAAATCACATAATTATTTTCTTCGGGTCAAATTTTCAAGGTTGGAGGAAAAAATATTGGTTGTGGGGATTTGATTTCGTGGTTGGAATTTTTTTTAGCAGTAATGCATATTATGAAACTCTACACTTCGTGATGGTCATAATATTGTGGGTCTCTACATACCTCGAAAACAACAAAAATTACCCACCCCCTGAAAATTAGTGACTTCATACTTTTAAGCATGCCTATACATGAAGCTATCTGTCGATTCTGTCCCTAGTGCTCGTCTGTCGGTTCGATTAGATTCGATTAGATGGTCCCCAACATTAAATTCACCGAATGTTTCTACCCTAACCATTACATCCTTCAGTTGGACCGTTCACGGTAGCTCAGTCGGTAGAGTGCTCACTCCGTGATCGGGAGATCGTGAGTTCATATCTCGGCCGCGACTGACCCAGTCGATAAAATGGGTAGCAACTGTTCCTTCGCCATGCGCTCGGCACTTTGAAGTGAAAGTTGCGAGTCCTTCGTTGGCACGATAAAGATCCCTCACTGCTCAATGGTCCTGAGTGCCGAGTAAAGGTCAAAATTTGAAGCCCTTCACCTGCACAAGGTGACGTCTCCATATGAGTGAAAAATTCTCGAGAGGGACGTTAAACAATATACAATCAATCAATCAATCAATCCTTCAGTTGGTGGGCCATCAGTACTGACCAATTCACTATACTACTCGATGGATCCTGAATTCTAGAATATCTTCTCGGTGGTGCCTTATCCAGGATAACCTCTCTACTGCTTCTCCCAGTCGTCTTATTGCTGTCTTGCGTGCTCTTCATGGTATTCTTAATCGTGCGAGCACCCCCTTCTACTGTGAACACTCTGCAATTGACCTTTATTGGAAAAAAGCAAAACGCCCCATCCTCTATTTTTGCAGTCTGCCATGAGGGCTGCATATTTAAGGTTCTGTCTCCACACAATTTTCTTCTCATTGCACCGTTCATGGTAGCCTAGTGGTAGAGCGTTCGTTTCGTGATCGGGAGGCCCGGGTTCGATTCTCGTTCAAAAGTGAAAGTCACGAGTCTTTCGGATATGACCTTAAAAACGTAGGTCACGTGTCACGGTTGGCGCTGGCACGATAAAGCATCCTCACTGCTCAATGGCCCTGAGTGCCGAGTATAGGTCTAAATTTGAAGCCCTTCACCGGCATACGGTGACGTCTCCATATGAGTGAAAAATTCTCGAGAGGGACGTTAAACAATATACAATCAATCAATCAATCTTCTCATTGCAAAGTCAGTTATATTGCGACCAACGTCTTAGACTACTTTTGCACTAATACTACGTTTGGTCGAAGGTTGATGTCCATGATGTAAAGGAAAAGTGATTTCCTGTGTAGATCCACTCTGAGCTCCCAGTCAAGCCCTCTAATCAGCACTGATGTCTGCCTTGTTGCTCTTGTGCCAGCCATTGCTTCACCCTGTCTAACAAACCATCTGTTTTTGTTTCGTATCTTATGCTCGTTTCTTTATCCATATCACCTCCAGAACAGCAAGCTCTCGCAGGACTTCGTGTCTCTCCTGAATCAACGCTACTTGGCATCATGATAGAATATGCACCATGATCCCCTTCTTAATACATATCTTGTAGCTTGGGCCTTCGCTTAGTCCCCACTGTTGTAAGTTTGCATGAGATAGGAGTGTGTCACACACTTCACACACTGACATCAGCTGGAACAAGATTCTAAGCTGGTCCTTTTTCCACAGTTCTGATCATGTTAATTCCCGCTTCGTTGAGTCCCATTTTATCCAGGCCCCTGGCCTCCTGTTTTCCAAGTTCTTTTGATCTTGCTCTCTGTTGCTATTCTTAGTGGCCGTACTTTAGCCTAAACCATATTGCATCTCTCCGCTAGACCTAGTGATACTTTTTATCACTGCTGGAAATGTGACATTCCCACGCTCTCTCGCCCAGTGCTTAAATTGTGTTTCCCATGATGTGTCAGAAGTATGACATACTCTCTGCCTGGTCCACTTATGTTTTTGATGATCACTCTCTTACTGTTCTTGTCTGGGATATTGTCGTCTGCTGAGTCTCGTAACGTCATTACTAAGCGGCATTTTGTTACTTTCAATTCCACCACTACAGAGGAAACTGGTATGCGTATGAGTTGTAGATCCGATGTTAGATGATATCAAGACGACAACATTTCAATATTGCCTTCTGTTTTCTTGTTTGCATCGTTCACATCGTCGACATTTCAATATAGGACGATATCGAGTAGACACCGTTGCCTTCTGTTTTCTTGCCTGTATCGTTCACATTTTCGACATTGCAATGATAGACAATGTTGAGTCATTTCAACGCTACATGCACCCTCTCTTCTTGTTCTTCTTTATAAACTATATTGATAAATATCTTTATCTTCCTCCCTACATTCACTTTTTGACCCGAGAAGGTCCTGACATCTTGATCGAAGCCTATATTCCTTAACGTTCCTTAATGTCTGCATGTCCTGGCTAGCTCGTGAGCTCGAAGGCCAAGTTCCTCCATCAAGTCGCTGTCTTTTGAAGACTAAGACTAAGAGGTTCCTTGCTCTGTGGGCTGTGTCTTAGCTAGGATCCTCCTGTGTCTTATAAGTTGGTTCTGTGCGCTGTGTTTTGGTTGTCACACAACCAAATCGACTTCTAGCTTTGTGTATACCTTCGGTTCTCGGATTTCTTTTTTGCATTTTTGCAGACTGACTTCTGCCTTCAGCCTTTCCTCGAATGTTAGCTGCATCATCGATCCTTCTCACAGTCCTTGGGCTGTTTCTTGCCGTTAACATTATATCTGCCTGTTTGAGATTTATATAAAAAGAAAATTTTGTACACCTTTTTCAGGTATTTCAGTGTCTGTTGATCGGTGGAGAAAATGTCGGTGAAAATGCTATTAGAAACGCACAAGCTCTGGTCGTGACGTCACAAGAATTTCAAGCCTTTTGTGAACGACACAAAAATATCTCTTCTTTAGTACCAGAATCAAACGAACAGGTACTATCTCTTAATATACATGTATTACGTACATTATTCCTTAATTAAACTACATGTATTTGAATTTTTTTTACTTGAATTCATGCCAAATTATGATAAATGAGTTGATGGATTAAAGCGAAAAGCATTTATAATGCTCATTTATAATGGTGATTACCTTTAACTTTATTTTTGCAGATGAAAGATAGCTATCTCATCCTTGATGAATACGTGAGTTATTTTATGGGCGTATTTCAATTAACAAAACGATTTATAAGTGAATCTAAGTACGTTATATAGTATCACAAGCATGTTTATTTTAGATGAGATTTTTGGACTGCACACGAGGTAGGAAAGATCCCTCTCGCTCTATTCTCGATGTTGGAGTAAGAAACGCTCTTAAGTTCAGCGGTTTTGACGAAAGAATGTTTCTCAAAAGAGGCGGCAGATACAAATGGAGTAAGGCGGACATGAATCTTGAATGGTAAACTCTGTAAAACTAAACTGGATTTAAATACCGTACATGTATACCATCTATCATTTTTACGTCAGAAATGATTTTTACTCGATTAACAACGAATGACAATTTTAACAAAGATGCTATTTGCAATTTTTTTTTTTTTTGAGATTTAGATTTTATAACAATTTGTAATTGTGCAACGCATATAATAAGTTATAAACATGTATAAGTTCATATTTATGACCTGAATATGACATGATGGGATGTCTTATCTACTTGTTGATGCATGCTAATATGACGACAGTTACCATTTTTGGTCTCTGAATGTACATTTCTTCTTTAGGATAACCACTTTTACACACGTTAATCTTCTATGAACAATATGGGTTTTATTTTGGATCTTGTCAGTTTCTCCATTACCCATCTTTTTTCACACAGTAAAAGCCAGTATAAACTTTAAAAATATTAGTATAATTATATTGTGCAATGCCTTTTAGTAGTCAGTGAAAACACAACACTATTACAGTGTATATTGTTGCATATGCAATTTGATAAATATTTTTATTCTGATGACAGTTTTTAAGAAGGGTTAAAAAGTATTTCCAGGAGTTTGTGTTTTATGCCCCCTTCACAGAATTGTATTGTTTATACATTTTTGTAATTTTGAAATCAATGTTCGTCATCTTTACTTTTTTAATGTAGAGGAATGGTCATTGACATACAACAATTTCACATATTTATTTTGGTAAAAGTCAGAAAAAGAACAAGAGAAAAATACCAATCATGTTCAAATGACAAATCTTTAATACGCTTACGACTGATATTATGATGTAAAAAAGTTTTCTTTGGTTTTTACATTTTCACAGGGAATTTATGTGATCTTGCTGTATTCTTCACAAATATTCATATACACACGTTTGTTTTTTTTTTAATATTTTGTTTTTTCACTATTATTTATTACGGTTGCATTTGTACTTGTTCATTTTTATTTTGTTTTACCTGAGGGGATAGATGTGTCTTCTTAATTGCAGCAATAACTGAATACCCCTTTGCTCAAGAAAGTAATGACTTTTTTTCAAAATTGCAAAAATTAAAAATTCTTGTTTGCATGGTTATATCATAAGCAGCATTAAAATTTACATACTTTCTCTGATCTTGTTCTTTATTTTATGATCAAAGGATATTGAGCAAGGAATATGGTTAAGTATTTTAAAATGGGTCACGGACCCACTGAAGCTTTTCTAACAATGCATCCATTAACTTGGAGAAAACAAAAAGTTTAATCTCTCCGATTAGAAATGAAATAAATTTATTGATAAAAAATTTATCAGATTTATTTGTAACTAAAATATATCTTGGTTCAATTTGTATTTTACGGGATTTGAAAATGGAGTTATCCCTCTTAGTTCAAATAACCATTTTGTAGCAAAATGTATGGAATATATTCAAGATTTTTTTTTATCATTCAAGATCATTGAAAAGAAAAAAACATTTCTGTTAGCCTTGATTTCATCCCTATATCACTGATTAAAGAAGTCTTTTGGTTTTCTCTGTATGCTTTTTAAAGTGGAAAAAAACTTTGATTTCACATTGTGGTCTAACCTTACCTCGGGGGCCATGATATGGACACACTCGACTCTACACTACCGGAGGATGCTAACTTATATAAATAATCATGGCTTTGCTGTTTTTGAAAGAAGATTTTTCATTTGATTGTCAATTGTTGCCTTATCCTACCCCCTGGAGTCATGATTTCACCAATCTTGGTTCTACACCACCTGCGGATGCTAACCAATCAAGATTTTGCTATTCTTGAGAAGATTTTCTCTGTAAAAAAGTGACAGAACATTTTCACTACCACACTATTCCAAGTTGTCATGATTTAAACAAATTTAAATCTATACTACCAGAGAATGCTTTTAGATAAGTTTCATATTTTTCCGTAGAAGGTTTTAAAATATCATTTATTCACTAAAAGGAGTGATTCTTCAATTGAACAAATTAGAAATTTTTTAGGCAAGATTGGTTGAAATTGACATATTGCAACGTGGTTCTTGAGAAGTCAAATGTGAAAAGTTTACGGACGGATCGTCGGACAGACAGACAAACTGAGAGACACCGACTTAATGTAATTAGAAAAGCTCATGTGAGCTAAACTGGGCAGGATACTGGAGGACAAAGAACTAAAATACTGTGCTGGAATTCAACATAATAAAACACCCTTTTAGATAATGAAAATTCAAAAACCCTCTTTATTTCTATAAATGAAATATTCTTGACCTATGATTATTAAGGAGGCGGGGGGGGGGGGGGTTTCAACAAATTAACCATGAATTAACCACCCGATTTAACTTATTTTTTTTAGATATGGTATCTTAAACTGTCAACTATCATTTGGCAAAGAAAAAATTCATACATTTTAGTTTTAAAATTTTATCATTTTTGTATATCTTTATATGGCGCTCTTCTTTTCAAGGAGATCAAAATAGTCTGAAAATGGCTGCCACACCCCAGCCTCGTTTAACGACTCATAAAATTGCCAAAAATCCATACACCATACAAAAATGACATGTACACTATACATGTATAATATATACTAGTATATATTTACATCTTTGTCAAATAATTTTGAAAGCAAGATTGCAATGACTAATTAAGGGATCTAGACATAAGTCATTTAAGATCTCGCAAGGTATATTCTCTAGCATTGATTATATATCAACACATTGTCACAGGCATCGATAGATTGATTTGTAATGAAGAAGATGTTTCTCAGTCGTGGATTGAAGCACAGTTTAACAGGGTATTTCACTTTCTCTATAATGGTCTGCTGTTTGGTTAATTTCTCCACGAGACGAACAACCAGACTGGCTCCATTGCTGCAGATGTACACATTGCCATCAATATCCACTTCCACCCCAGCGGCGCCTTTTAGGTTCACTTCGTCTTGGAGGACCAGTTCCATGGTTTGATCAGGGTTGACAACCAGTAGCATGTGTTGTCGGATATCTGTTACGAAGAATCGTCCCTTTTCGTCCGGACGTGATGAAATGTAATACGGTCCTTTCAACTTGTTGATTCCGGTTTTATCTCCGTGAAGAATCTTCGAGATTTTTCCTCGCTTGTCGATGAATTTTATGGCCGCTTTGAATTTGCCCATTTCAGAGAAAGTAACGATGAATCCGTCCTTATGGAAGGCGATTCCTCTACAGGCCCCGTAAGTTTCAAAGTATCTGACGGGAGCAATACTTTCCCGGACTCGGTAAATTCTCACCTTCTTCCGGTGTGGAAAGGTTACAGCAATGTGATCTCCGTCAATGCTGGTCATGTCCCATGGAGCATCGAACTTAACGTCTCCACAGCTAAGACTATGCTTGAATTTTCCATCCTGGCTGAAGAGTTTAAGGCTTCCATTTTCGTTGTCAGCAAGAACGATGTTTCCGTTCTCCATGTAGACTGCTCCAGTAAAATTACAAACCTTTTGATCAGATGAGATACTTCCACTAAACTGAGACAGCTTCTCAACAGCACTATCAGACAAGGACTTATGCTTCGGAGGGTCTGCCACTTTTATCTTGTTGTCATGCGCGGTAAGATGACCGACTACTTTGCCCGCCAACGCTTTTTCCTCAAAATCAGGAGAAAAAGTGTAATTGTAAGATCTCTGTTTGTTAGCGTTTTTATCAGACACAAATTCTCTTTCCGTGCACGTCTTCAATTCAGCAGCAGCAGGGGCATGAAAAAGTATGTGACCTTTGATGTTTCTCTTGATACTTGAATCAAGTTTCTCTTTTCTGTCAATCAAACTGTTCATCATTTTTCTGTAACGTGCAATTTGTTCATCCAGCAGATCCATTTCTCCTTGATGGACTTTTTCTATTTGCTGCACTGCTTTGGTTTCCAAGGTGTCCAAAGCCATCTTAAATTCTTTTACTTTTGCTGCTACCTTTTCTGTAGCTTGCCTTTTCTCTTTCATCAGTTTCTTCTTATTTTCACCTTTAAACTGTATGACAGAGTCTGCGTACTGAGCACATTCTTCTACTTCATCGAGCAAATTATTGAGATTTATTCCAAGGTCCTTTTCTACTTCCACTTCGTCTACATGCTTTACGTTTCTACATTTTCGATGATCTAATGCAACGCAAGTCACGCACACCAGGCATGCGTGATCTACGCAAAACAAATCCAATTCTTTCTCAGAATGGAAGGAACACGTGGTTGTGCTTTCTTCATCGAATACATGTTCAGGTTTTAATGAAAATATGTCAACAATCTCATGATCTTTCAGAAGTTTCATGCTTTTATGCTGATCGATGCAGAATGCACACAATCCTTCCTGGCAGTTGACACACCAGTGAGACGCGGCCTTGAGCGACTCCCCTTTACCTTGACATGGTTCACAAAATCTCACCTGAAAAGTTTTGTCCAGAAAAGAAGAGAATGGTCGTTCGGAAATCTGCAGTTTTGGTTGGTGTACAATACTGCGAGCACTTTGGGAAGCAGGCAAGCCGGTAGATGATCGCGGGCTTAATTTCGCAATCGTTTGAGTCTGAGATGAGTTTAAAAGGTCGTTGTAAGACGACGAATACTGCTTGGACCTTTGAGAGAGAGGTGTTGGAGAAAGGATATCATCGATGAGTGGAATGGCTTCCCTACAGACTGGACACGGTACCTCGATGTTTGGAAGTTTCCCGTTTTGAGAAAATCCGGTGACGTAAGATTTAATGCAGGATTCACAGAAAATGTGAGAGCAAGGTAGCGTACTAGGGTTTTTGAGACCCTCGTCACACAAGGGGCATAACAACAGCGAGTCTCTTCTAGAATCGCTGAAGAGAGAAGACGCCATTGCGAAAAATTTACAGGACGTCGCTAACTATATACAGGGAAATATTATTTGTGGTTATTTATTTAAGTTCAAAACTTACACAGAAAGGATTTTAATTCACAAAGGCAAATGAGGTGTTGGTGCGTTTCGATGATTTCTTTTTCTTTTTGTTTAAATGTGTATTGATAAAAATCAAGAATAAAAGAGATTTAAAAGACTGTTTTTCAGTGAGAATTTTACTGTCGTTTGTTTTAAAGAGAAGATTTAACAGATTTATACCCATTAAAATGCACCTTCAGGCATTGAAATCCAATTATGGTTTAAGTGGAATATGAAAAAAAAATCATGACGTAATTATCAATAAGAGAAATACGTTAAATGACAGGAAATATGTTGTTTTTGAAGGAAGTCGCTGCTCGTGAGCAATTTT